GGGGGGGGGGGGAGCGAATGCCTGCAAAGGAACGTTTGCGGTATCAGCAACGAGGTGCTGAACCAGCTCGAATCTAGCGGGGTTTTATTTATTTTATTTTATTTATTCGATTTCTATCCTGCCTTTTTCCTACAAAGGGCTCAAGGCAGCTTACATCCTCCTCCTCCTCCATCTTATCCCCACAACAACAACCCTGTGAGGTAGGTTGGGCGGAGAGTCTGTGACTGGCCCAAAGTCACCCAGTGGGCTCCATGGCTGAGCGGGGACTCGAACTCAGATTGTTGAGCATCTGGGGTCCCCAGGAGCGCACCCTCCTTTCTCCAGCTGCCCCCCTCGCCCCCGCCGCCAATTTGGTGGCTTCACTCTAAAAGCTTGGCATGCGCCTCCCATGGCGGAGTTCTGGGCCGGGAGAGCTTTAAGCGACAATGCGCAGGCTCCAGGCACTTTGGCTTTTGCCCCTCCCCAGGGTGGGAATCTGGCCGCTTCTTTGGGCTTTTCTGCAGTGGGTCCTGAAGAAGTCCAGCATCCCTTGAACGAGACCGAACTTTCGGAGCAGAGAGCAGCCCTTGGGCTGAGAGGACCCCCACCCCTCTTCTGATCCATCCTTTCCCAACCTTGGCCACAGGGATGTGGATGGAATGCAGCTCCCATCATCCCCAGTCACTGAATGCACAGGCCTGGGTTGCTGGGAAATGCAGTCAAATGATGCTCGGGGTCCCATGGTTGGGAAAGGCTGCTGAATCGATTGATTGAGGCCTGAAAGGAGAGGGGTGGGGTCTGGGGGGACGAGACACTCGGGCCACGGTGGTCTGGGCATCACGGGATTAAAGAAGACAGATGCCGCCAAAAGGGCGAATGCTATTTTGGGATGCATTAACAGAAGTATTCCTTCCAATCACAAGAACTAGTAGTTCCCCTATAATCCTCACTAGCCAGACCTCACCTGGAATACTGTGCCCAGTTCTGGGCACCAAGATTTAAGGAAGACGCAGGTAAATTAGAAAGGGTGCAGAGGAGGGCAACAGAAACGCTCCAGGGTTGGGAAACACTGCCCCGTGAGGGGAGACTGGGAGAACTGGGCATGTTCAGCCTTGGGAAGAGAAGGCTGAGGGGGGACATGAGCTCCCTCTAGAAGGACCTCAAAGGCTGCCACAAAGAGGAAGGCCAAGATCTCTCCTTGCTGATGCGAGTGCAGGACACGGAATAATCAAGTCAAGCTGCGACAACCCAGATTCAGGCTGGACATCAGGAAAAGCTTCCTCTCTGTCAGAGCAACACGGCAGTGGAACCGGCTGCCTGGGGAGGTGGGGGGCTCTCCCACCCTGGGGACATTCAAGAAGAAACTGGAAACCCCCTGAGCGGGATGGTGTGACTTGGTGTCCTGCAACAGCAGGGGGTGGACTCGATGGCCTTCCTGGCCCCTTCCAACTCTACTCCTCTACGATTCCATGAATCAGAAGCGCAAGAAGGGCCTTCTCTGCGATGGCACCCAATCTATGGAATGCGCTCTCCAGAGAGGTCCGCCTGGCGCCATCATTATTTGTTTTTCGGCGCCAGGCAAGACTGTTTTATTGAAACGTCATTTTAATTGTTAGCTTTATTTATTGATTTTATATCTTCGGCCAGGACGTCTCCAATTATATTGTTTTTATATGTTTAATAAGTATTTATTTATTGTTGTGAGCCGCCCCGAGGCTTCGGCGAATGGGGCGGCATAGAAGCTTACTAAATAAATAAGTAAGAACCCCGGCCTCTCACAAGCCCGCCATTGAATTCTGAGCGTCGCCACAAGGGGGAGTGAAGGCCAAGGAAACCGGGAGATGCGCTCCAGATGCGCAGAGATGTCGCTCCAGTTCGCAAGTGACCCAAAGGCATCCCATGGGCAGCTCCAGAGGCGAAGGCGGGCAGCAGCGCCATTCCCCGGAAATCCCCACGCTTCCCTAAGCCAGAGTCTGCGTTCCCGTGTATGTGCTGGCGCAAGTCCACGCTTCCAAAAATGCGCATTTCCCTGCCCCGACGTACGCATCAGCACTTTGGGGAAGGGGCACAGACGGAAGTCTCCTCTGAGAAGTGTGCACTTTCCCTGTTAGTGAAAAAGAGGCACTCGCCAAGGCACAGCGGGCATCCCGGAGGAAAGCGGAGGACTCGGGGAGCGTGGGTACGGCACACTCTCTCACCACTACTGAGCAAGCCCCGGAGGGCCGGCCCAGGGCAGAGGGCTGGTGGGCTGGGCCGCCCCGTGTTTTCCAGAGGCCAGAAGCCCTCTGGGCTGCCCTCCCCTCCGGTTTTGGGCTCGTGAGCCCAAGTGCCTGCGGCGCTCGCAGCTGCCTCTGCCTGGCCCTCCCCAGCCTGGCAGCCTCCAGAGACTGGACCTGAACGGGCGTCACGGCGGCCCGAGATAACCGGAGGGGGAGAGTGGGGGAAGACCCCCGCCCCCCGTCCGTCAAGGTCATACCTTGAACGCTTGCGTCCATATATGCCCTCCTGCACCTTGAGATCGGCAACAGCTGCCCTTCTCCGGGAACCCTCCGTGAAGGATATTCACGGGCTTTCTCTGCGGTGGCGCCCCAACTGTGGAATGTGCTCCCCAGAGAGGTCCGCCTGGCGCCGTCGCTATTTGTTTATCGGTGCCAGGCCAAGACCTTTTTATTTAAAACTTATTTTAATTGTTAACTTATTATGGTATTGATAGGATTTTAAATTTTTAAGCCGAGATGCTACCAGGCTTTTTAATCTCTAACTGTATTAATTGTTATTTATATGTTTTAATTATGCTGTGCGCCGCCCCGAGGCTTTGTTGAGATGGGGGCGGCATAGAGATGTTTGAAATAAATAAATAAATAAATACCTGTACAGCTGCTTGCGCTTCAGCCGGGGCGCCTCCTCCGGGGAGTCCTGGGTCTCTTCCACGAGGCACACCCAGGCATGGAAGGCGAACCCGCCGCCGGGCCACTTCTGGATGGCGGGCACCATGATGCCGGCCATGCCGGGGGTGAGGTCGAAATACTGCAGGGCCCGCTTGGGCGTGTCCCCCCGGGCCATGCCCGAGAGCGCCCGGACGACCTGGACGGTGTAGGGGTGCGGCCCCTGGCCGGGCTCTGTCCGGAGGAGCTGGAGGAGCTGCCGCAGCTCGCCGGGCTGGATGGAGAGGCCGCCCAGCACCTGCAGCAGGTGGAGGAGGTCGCCGGAGCACCTGGGGTCCGGCCGCGGCTCCGCGGCACACAGGGCGTCCAGCAGGCAGCCGACCATGCCGGCCTTCACGCAGGTGGTGCGGCTCTGGAGGGAGGCGTCGCAGATCCGCCGGAGCCGATCCGAGAGGAAGACCTGGAGGTCTGGGGACTGCAGCTCCGGGATCCAGGCGATGAGAATCAGCAGGGGCTGCTCGTTGCGGATCAGGCGCGGGGGGACGGAGCTGTGGTCGCCCTCGACGGCCTGAAGGGAGGCGAAAGCAGATCCCAGAGGAAAGGTTGACTCCGACCTGCTCGTCGATTCCTTGAGCAAGCAACCTTCCCCCAGAATGACCGCAGGGGAAGGGAGACCCTCCAAGACAAGCCACTTCCACGTGTGGTGATGCTGCTTCGTTGTGATACTGCAAATACACGACCCCCCCACTCTTCTGCACTGTTTGGGGTGGGTGGGGGGGGTGGATCGGGGCTGCAAGGCCAAGATCTGGCAGACTCCCATTCAAGGGCCTTCGGTTCAAGCAGGCTGGGAAAATTATGTATTTGAGAGGGTGGATTCTTCTCCCGAGACTAAAAGCCCCATTAATGTGGACAACAAATGCTGAAATGAAAGACCTTTTTATTTAAACATCATTTTAATTGTTAAAATATATGATCTGGCCAGGACAACTTCTTCTTCCTTCTCTTTTCTCCTCCTATATTCTTTATTTACTTATTTTATACTGTTAATTTTAATTGTATATTATTCTATCTCAGTGTATTTTTGTATTTTTGTATTTAAGTGGTAATTTATTATGTTCTATTGTATTTGAATGTATCTTATTGTGTTGTAAGCTGCTCTGAGGCTTCGGCAAGGGGCGGCATAGAAATGTTATAATAATAATAATAATAATAATAATAATAATAATAATAATAATAATAATTGCTTCCAGCAATATGCCTTTTTTTCTTTAGGGCTTTTCTCACGGGCCCAGCGGGTGTCCAAGGATCTGTAAGCTCCTGCCAAAGCACAAACCGGGTAATATTTGTTCAAGCCCCAAATCCTGGAGTCTGGGATCAAGCCACAGAAAGAAAGGTAGCTGAAAGGCTAGAGGCCCTTGTCTTGCTTGAATTGTGTCTTTCGGCATCCTCCAACCTGTGACCCACCCAGCAAATGGGTGAAGGATCAGTAGCCACCATTTAGATAGATTTTTAAAAAGGGAAATTTGTGGAGGAGGATGGGTGCAACCGTGAAACTAAATGGAACTGCCATATTCAGGGGCAGTGTACCACTTAATTTCAAATCCTGGAGCTAGAAAAGTGAACACAACAAAAATTATTTGTAATGACACTCTCCTATTAGTCTCCCTCTTTATGGATGGGAATGAGAGTTCAAAAAGTAAAGAGCTGGTGGAGATCCTCGTAGGAATGGCAAGATTAGAAATTATGCATAATTGGAAAGATGTAAAGGGACTTTCCTTTCAAAGGTATTTAGGAAGGATATGGGAAATTGCACTAATAGAGAAACTGACTACATGAGCTGGAATCCGGAGAGGTGAAATAAAAATAGATAATTTCATTAAAATTTGGCACCCCTTACTGACCTCGAATGTGGAATCAAATACTGAGAGAAATATGCTGGGTAACCCACTAGTATATTGCTGTTTATTAAGTCGATATTTTTTGTCACTATTGGTTTGTGGAATAGATTTGGAACGGATATGTAAATAGAGCTGTTGTTATATAGAAGATGTACTTGCTGTAAGATGATTATATGCTTTTGTTATGGTTAAGGATTGTCAAAAAATAAAAAGGGAAAATTTGAAAAAAAAAAGAAATATAAAAAGGATCCTGGGGCAGGAAGTGGGCAGCAGAAACAGCAGAACGCTGCTCTTTGGGGTTGCTAAAGGCATCTGGACATTAGGAGATGCACTTCTCTTTAACTCTTATTTACTGATTCCAAGAGCTTTAAATATGCTGGGGGCTTGCTTGTTTTGCTTTTGGGCCTGTCCTTTTGGCCTTTGGCCAGACCCACTCCAGGAAAGCTGCCCTTGAGATTGTTCCCAAAATGGGAATTGGCCTCCTGACCGAAGGGGGTCCCATGCTTCTGGTCCAGGTGGGCCCCAGTCCGATTCCGCAGGACGCTTGCTATGCTTTTAAAGGATGGGATGAGATAAGGTGCTCCCAGAAAGGAAGCAGCGGTGCAGGTCCTCCCTAAATGATGGAAGGGATACAGAGCAATGGAGAAAAAAGGAAGGGGGCAGCAGAGGAAGGCGGGGAGGGAGGGAGGAAAATACTATGCAGCCCCAGGGAGGACGGTGGGGGTGGGACCGGGCCAAGAAGTCAGCAGAGCGTCTGCAACGGCCCCTTTTACCTGCAGCTGTGCGCATGCGCCCCGGCGCGCCCAGGACTCCCCCCCCATGGCCAGGTCCCCCTTGCATTCCCATCACCTTCCGCTCTCGCACGGGAGACGTGGCCGACGCATTTCAGGGAAAGTGGCTGGTCCGGGGCATCCTTGCCCCAGCAGGGGAAGCCCTTTTCCCCATAGAAGCGGGAGCGCCCCAGCTGCCCGGCTGTTTGGGGTCCCCCTGCAGCCAGTCGCTCTTTTCGTCTCGCTACCTCCAGCACAAAGGGGCTCCCTACTTTAGCACGCGCTCCCCCGAGACTCGGCCCGGCTGGCTCTTCTCCGTTTCAACAGGTCCTGGGGCTCGAGCCAGCTGAGCAGACGCAAAGGTCCAGCCAGCCAGGGCTCTGGAGGGCCCCCACGCTGCTCCGCCCGCTTGCAATACTGCCCCCCCCTCATTTGGTGACCGGCTTTTCTCCGGATTTGGCAAAAGGGGCCCAAGGGGAAGGCTGCCCGGCCAGCCTTCCAGCCTCTTCCAGGACAAGGAACTCCACGTCCTCCTCCGCCCCGGGACCTTTCTGGCCCGTGCCGGCAAGCCAGGCCCCCTTGAGCTACATCTCCGTTTGGCAGTTTTTCGGGGGGGGGGCACCCAGAAACGTTTGGGACTTTTGCCCACCCAGCCTCGTCCCAAGCGCTCACCCGGATGGCTCTCTTCCGCATGGGCTGCAGAACCTGGACGCTGCCATGGCGGGGCTTGTGGGCTTCTCCCCCTTGCAGCCGCACCTGCTCAGAGCCGTCGGCCATGGGACAAGCGGGGGGGGGGGGGGGCTCCCAACGCTGCCCCTCCTCCCCCGCTCTGGGGGGACCGAGGATGCCTACCATGTTGAGCAACTCCTGCAGCAGCATCCGGGACGGCTGGCTCTGGCTCTGGCTCTTGAGGACGTCGTAGAGGTGAGAATAGCCAATCCTCTCCTTGAAGACCTCCTGGAAAAGCCAATGGGCCGGGATGGTCACACTCCGTCCGCTTCTGCCCCCCTGCCTCGCGCAATCCCCTGGGGAGGTCTCCCTGGAACAGCGTGGCGCCCAAGCCAGCAGGCATTCCGGCTCCCAGGAGAGGGGAGCGGGGGGGGGGGCACCCCCTCGGCATAGGATGCATAAGCTTTGCTTCACCACCAGGCCCGGGAAATGCACGCACGGGCATCTGCAGCCGAATCTGGCATTTCGAGAAACTGACTTTTTTCAAAGGCATTTCCAGACCCTGCGGTTCCAGGAGCAGATTTTGTTTCTCTTTGCAATAGTGCAATAAAAGTCACATCAAGATGACGAACACACTGAGAAATCTTGAAAACAACACGGAAAGGGACAGGGGAAACCCCAGGCTTTTTCCTCTTTGGGCTGCAGAGCAAACCCCTTTGGAAGTTGTCCTCTCTCTCAGAACATAAGCAAGGCCCTGCCGGGTCAGGCCCAAGATCCTGGATCAGGCAAAGCGGTTGCCCCCAGGATCCCTCCAACGGGATGGGTGCAAGACCACTGCCGGCCCAGCTCCTCAGCAACGGGTGCCTGCAAAGGAGGCCAAAGGAGGTAGCCCACGCCAGCTGGGCTAGTAGCCATGGATAAACCTGCTTGGGGCCTGGATACCTGAAGGAGCACCTCCTTCCCTATTTGCCTTCCCACCCCTTGAGATCTGAGACGGAGGTCCTTCTTCGGGAGCCCTCCTTGAAAGAGTTGGGGGGGGGGCTACCCGGAGGAGGGCCTTCTCTGTGGTGGCGCCCCGACCGTGCAACACACTCCCCAGAGAGGCCCGCCTGGCACCAATGCTTCTTTCCTTTCGGCGTCCAGCGAGAACCTTTTTATTTTCCCCCTATTTTAATTGCTAACCCATCTTAATCTGTGGTTTTACGTTTAATATTGGATGCTGTGCTACTTCTGCTTAATCTTTTCTTATTTCACTGTTGTTATTGTGAACCGTGCCGAGGCATCTCTGATGGGACTGTATACAAAAGTTTTAAATAAATAGGTCATAGGATAGAACATCGATACATACCTTAGCAGAGGGAGAGCTGCTCATAATGGAAGTGAGCACCCCAATCGCGTGGATGGCGATTACATCAGAATTGCCGCTGAAAACCTGAGGACCAAAGAGAAGAGGGTGAAACCTGGCCTCTTCCGGCTGTTATCTCGGTTCGACCAGGCTGGGCGGCCACGGTCTTAGCGCTCTCGGCATGGCGTCTCCTAGCTTCGGGCCCCTTCTGTTGTCATTTGGCTGCTACCCTGAGCTGAATCACAAAAAGCCGTCCCGAGACCCTTGGAGGGGACTGAAATATTTTAAGAAAACAAATAAAAAGCAATGCCAGAGGGATGGCAGGAAAGCCATCCCTGGATTTTCTTTATTTCGCTCTTCCTCCCACAGAAACACCTCCTGTGAGATAAACCGGGTTGCAGGCATTCAGCCTCTCTCTTGATTTCAGACTGAAAGACTAACGGTTGCACAGCGAGTCTGGGAAAGATGTGGACTCAAGTTTCTTACATTAGAGGAGTTGGAAGGAAGGAAAACAAAAAAATCCTCTCTCGAACTATTACATTAGCCGCGGCACCATCACAAAGAAGCAGGCAAATTAACGCTGCAAGACACGTTAAATATACGAGTAGAATCAACGCAGGAAAGACTGAGAAACCAGCTAATCCCTCGCGGGTGTTTTCTGTTTTGCTGTGCTCAGTATTGCCCCTATTCTTGATCTGTGTTAATAGCCCTGGCTTTAATCCAGAGAAAGTTAAACCTCCTCTGCTCATTGAAAGTACAACTTCTTTCATCGCTTGGGCTGTCAGGGCTGCAGAGGAAGACTTAATTCTCGGGGGGGGGGGGCAGTTAGCTGTACCTTATTCACTTAGGCATCCCCCCCACCCCCCAATACAGGCATTTCCAAGGTTGCTTTAAGGAGAGATGCAGGAGATGGAAAGTTTCTCCATTTTTAAAAAAATCCCTGTGCACAGAAAGCGGGCTAGAACCCCTCTTCTCTCCGGAGCGCAAGGGCTCTGGTTGTTGCGGGTTCGGAGCAACATTCCCGTCCGTCGCTCCCACACTGCCGTCTGAAGTGGTGCAGAAATGGGTTGATCGTTTTGGTGAGCTCAAGTGCTCCCTTCGGATGCCGTTTTCCGAGCACCATCTGCATCCCACAGTTTTGTGCACCGAGAGGGCGATTGAGAGAGAGGCAGAGAGAGAATGAGGTGTTCTTAAAGATCCTTCTTTAGGCAGGGCATTGAGGGATTCCTGGCCTCACCTGTTCTGAGCTCCGGAACCTGCCTTTACACCTGCATGTTACACATAACACACCAATCACATGCAGGGAACCTCTGCCTGGCAAACTGCTCCATACTCAAAGGTGTCTGCAGGATCGAGACTCTTGTGCCCCTGCCCCAGAGACTCTGCTCAACAGTTCCTCTCACCACTGGCTATGTGGTTAAGGCTGATGGGATCTGTAGTAGCAGACGCGGAGGACCACAACCTGACCCAGGAGGATAGGACAGGCCAACAGAAAACCTGCACATCCAGAATTTTAAGTAAATGAACAAGACATATTTTTAGGTAAAATACCTTTTGCTCTTTTTTAAAAAAGGACCCCTGCAAAAAAAAAAAAAAAGAAAAAGAAAAAAGAAAAGAAAAGAAAAGAAAAGAAAATTACCAAGCCCTTCCATTTCATAGCTCAGATTAGGGAAGGATCTGGAAATCCACAGAGGAGGAGAAAAGGGATTGCGTCTGAGATATTTGCTGTTAGGAGGAGATCCCGAACAGCTTTACTGACTTCAGAACCAGAGAGGGCCGCCGGTAAACATCTTGAAAAACGGGATTCTAGCAAGCTGGCGGTACTGAATCCACTGCTCAGCTAGAAAACAGGAGCGGCTAATGCCATTTCGCTCCGGAGATTCCTGCCAAAGATGCGCCTTCGCCAGGATTACGGAAAGGATCTCCGGCTCGCACCGCAGTCGACTGCGGCTTCACAGCAGCCCTGCTCCGATCGGACAACGAAGAGGGTTGCTTCCTTTGGTGATAATGCTAGAGGCATGTACAATCTTCACACATAATGCCAAGCTGTGGCTTACGTCCAACTTGGGCTGTTGCTTAGCTCCGAATTGTTTTGAGCAAATAAACTGCAGCTTGTTTTCTGCCCTGTTCCGAGCTTATTTCTCTCCTGCTCGTCTTGCGGGCAGGTGCCTCTTTCTCAGAGCAGACCGCAGTGCAAACAAACCAGGCTCTGGGTTTCGAGATCATGATAAGCTGCGTCTAAACAAGCCAGACTTTGCCCACTAATAAAAGCCGTGGCTTCCACTTGGGGTTTACGGCTGGTTAACAAACCACGGTTCGTTCGTGTCGGTGGGTCCGGAGTCAATGAAAAGGTGCATTTCAACATTGCTGGATGCTGTGTGCAAAGGAGGCCAGAACTCGCCATTCGGGAGAAACTGGGCCGGTACATGAAACGAATCCGACACATTGAGAACTGGAGAAACCTGAACATTTCCACTGGGAGCCTCTTATCCTGCACACAGGGTCACAAACGAGAAAACCTGCAATATAAGGTGCAATTAAAGCAGGCTCCCGGCACCCTGGCGCCTCCCAGACAGCCCGGACCACAACTCCCATTGTCCCCAGCCAGTCGCTCTGCCTGGTGGGCGATGGGAGCTGTAGTCCCACTGATCTGGACACCTGCCCTGCGTGCTGTGCTTGGGCTTTCGGTGCATGCCTTGACTCGTCCTGGGGCGTGCCGGTTCCAGGGCCAGGACTGGCCCCTGGCGTCTTCTGTGCTGGATCCGGGCCAGGCGTCTCTCAGCTCCAGGGCAGCCCAGGAGGCGTGTGCAGGGAGGGTCCCGCTCCGTCAGAGGCAAGCAGCACGGTGCAAAGCTTATTCTGACCCCTGAGGTTGCCAGAGGGCCCTCTTTTTCCGTTTCTGCTATGATGGACAAGCCGTTGCATTTGAAAAGCACGGAGGAAAAGTGCGCTTTGCAGCAAAACAGAAGCCTTTCTCACGCAGAGCTTTTGACGGGGCCAGAGTGCGGCTGGCTCCGAGCCGGAGGGGTGGGCAGAGGCAGACATCTGGGGCCGGCTGAGTTGCCGGATGGAAGCGGATGCTAGGGAAATCCTTTTAATGCCTCTGTGCGTCTTGAATTGGGGCCGGGGCGGCGAGCGAGGCTGTTTGATTGCAGTTTGTGTACGGGGAGAAAAGGCAGGCCCTGAGAAGGAGCCCGAGTTTCACGGCATGCTTTGAACTACCCACCCAGCCGGGTAAACGCACAAGCGAGATCAAATTGGAGACCAAACACTAGCCGGGCTCCCACAGGGGGGTGTTCTGAGGTCTGGCAAAACAGGAGCGCAATGAAGTGCCCTCGAGAGACTCCGAGCTGCAAATCGCTTTCAGCTGCTTCACTCGCCCGGCTGGGATCACCTTCCTTTTGTCAAGAGATTACCGCGGCTCCTTTCTGGTTCCCTCACAAGGAGGCATCTGTTTCCCTGGCTGCAGAGACCGGCTCGCGATGGCCGCTTGCCCGGGTGGCCACTGGGCAACAGTTGCGACGAAGCCGGATCTGCAGACTGTCAATAAAGCAGCAGCTGCTACTCCCGGCATGTGGGGAAAACACGCTGGCCCGGCCCAGACACCAGAAGGCTGGCATCCTTCCCCTTCCACCTCCTCTTCCATGGCTGCAAGGCAGAGGGGCAGGTTTGCTTTTAAGCTAGCCACGGTTTACCAGTCAGGGAACACTGGCTTGCTTAAGTTGCAGGGCACCGAATTTTCTTACACGTGCCCAAGTCCGTTCCGGAGATGCTCCGTCTTGGGGGCCTCCTTCCAGGGGGGGACAGGCCGAAGGCAAAAGGAACGGGGCCAAAATACCAGTAAACCCCCAAGGGGCCGGTGGTTGGTGGGAAAGGGGGAATCGCCGAGGGAAGGGGGAACGGCTACCTGGGCTGGACAGGAACTCCAGCGGAGCTCCCAGGCCTGCGGGCCCCCAGCCCTGGTCCAAGAGGCTTGAAAAACACAACTGATTTGCAATTACTGAGGACAAGGCAGAAGTTTTGAACTACAGAACTTTTGCACTACAATTCCTTGCTGGAAAGTCAGTGGCCGGGGTGATGGGAATTGCAGTCCGATAGCTGCATCTGTAGGAACGGTGACTGAGAGCCCAGCCGCCTCCTGATGACTGGCTCATTTAGGAACTGCCTGTCAAAATGGTGTCCCGAGTTATGTACAACACAGGACCACTCTTGCCAACAGGATGCAAACCCATCAGCTCTTCCAGCCCAGGAAAGCTCATGCGGCACAAAAGGTAGTAACCCTTCAGGTGCCACAGAATTCTTTGCCCACCTGCTGTGCAGAGCGCAGGATCTCACAGCTAGCTGCAATGGGGGAGAAAGAAGGAGCTGCACAGGGTGGCAGCAACCAACAGTGATAAAGTGGAGGCGACCCTATTCTCCACCCGAAAGCTCTACCAAATAAAAGTGACCCAGTATCTCAGCTGGGGCTCAGTCAGACTTTGAGAAAGGATCTGGCCCTGGAGACGCGTTAAACAGCTTCAGGACTCGGTGGAGCGCAAGGCACCCAGCACCTTCCAGGATTGCCACTCATTTCAAGCTGCTTGAAGGCTCCGCTCTCGCTGGCAAAACACACCCGAGAGCCGTATGAATTCTTGGCTCACAACCCCGGATGGACCCTGCCGGACCCTCTCCTGTTTGAAGTAGCGAATGAGCCCCTCGCCTGGCGATTTAGGACCCCATCCCAGGCAGGCTTAAACGGAGAAGACGCCTGCAAGATCCAAACAGCCCTGCTGGGCGTTGAGGCCTTCCTCCTGCCTAAACCTGGACTGTGCCTCAAGTCACCCCTTTGTGTCCCACCCCCGTTTGTGTGTTGTCACCCACAGCTGGCTTGGTCTCGCCTTTCCGTGCGTTGCACTCGCGTTTGGAAGGGTGAGCTGCACAGGACACACCTGCCGGCTATTCCTGGCCTGGGTCAGGCCAGGCGTACCGAGCATTCGGCGCCTCGGCAGGAAAATGAAAAGGAACGGACAGTTTGAACCTCCCCAGCGAAGGACTGGATTTGTACAGGAGGTCTGTCTTTACATATAGCGTTAGCCCGTAGCTTATGCTAACCATGGTTTGTTCTGAGCATGAATTGTTTTGCAGACAAACCAACCCCTGGCTTCTTTCCCTGCTTTGGTTTCTTTCTCTCCCACCCATTTTGCCTCGCTTCAGAGCGGTTTCGTTCTCTGGCCACCTTGGCCGGACACCTCTCTCTCTCCGGGTAGTCAGCAGTAGAAACAAGCAAGGGGTAAACCACAGTCCAGGGTTTAGCCATTGCAACAAGCCATGGTTTAAACAAGCCAGATTTTGTAGGCCAAGCACAAACTAACTATGGCATGCAATTGTGGTCTATACTTGGTTAACAAACCACGGTTTGTTTGTGGAGGGGGGGGTCTCAGACATGACGACAAAGGGGATTTCAACAAACCATACTATGGTTTGATGTCACGTGTGAACTGGGCCCTGTTTTCTAGCTACGCAGGGATGATGTTAGTCTAGCTCAAAGAACCGGAACAGAATTTCTTATCTTGCTCAGTGGCTTCCAACTGCTCCACCGAAGCGATTTTCATCTCAGACACATCAGAAGAGCTCAAGCTGGATCAGGCCCCCTTCCCCACGGAGGTCAAGCGGAGGACTTGGGAAGCCCCACAAGCTGGGGACAAGGGCAACCTCCGTCTCCTGTTCTTGCTCCGCAGCAGTGGGCCTTCAGAGGTACACCTGAAGCCCGCCTTCAGCATCCCCGGACACACTGATTTGAGCAAGACCGTTCCGCAGGGGAAGTATCAGGCTTGGATGTGGGCACTTACCTGCCAGGGGAAACCGAGAGGGTTTTCCCCAGCACAGCAAAATGCCACAAGCCCCTGCACAGGGTGCGTGCACTCAGAAAGGGTATGCAGCGAGCGAGAAGACGGAGGTGACCTGCTTGGTGGCTTCCCCGTGACGAAGAAAACAGGGACCGCTCTGGCCTACGGCGTCAGCCATCAGCACTCTGCCCGATTTTCGAGTCAGGCGGAGCAACCGAAAGGAAAGGGTGCATCCGGTGAGGGTCACCTGGGCCCACCGCAAAGCCCGTGCTTTGCGAGCCGGCCCCCGCAAAGAACATGAGAAGGGAGCGCCGAAAGGCTTCAGGTCCCGACCTGCTCAGGGAGGGGGAAACGGGAGGCTGCCGTGGGCACGTCGGAGGGACGCTGGCCCTGCCCAGGGGGTGCGAATGTGCCCGGGGAAGAGCCGCTGTTCATAGCGAGGATCCAGGCCCTCGGAGGGCGGTCAGAAGCTCCCCTGGGGGCCCGGAGCGCCTGGCAAGCACCGGGTGGCCCTGGCTCCCTTCCAGCCGTTATCCCACAGATGCCTGGCCTGGAGCCGTGGGGAGAAAGGGGAGCGTGCAAACAGGGACCCGTCCCCCTGTCCTTCTCCCGATTCCAGCCCCACATTTTAACACAAAGAATTTCTGCTCTGGCCGCTGCTTTCCTCTTCCCAGTTTCCGAGCGGGGCAGCCTGGAAGCAAGCTTGCAGGGCTGGGGGGTGGTCGCCCCTGCCGGAAAGGGAGGCGGCCCGTGCGTGCGTCCCGCGTGCAAACCCGCCACGCCACAAGCAGCAGCCAGTACCTGACGGGGATCCGGCTCGGTCGGCGGCTGCGGGGCGAGATCACTCCCAGGCGCTTTGTGCTCGCTGCTCAGGTAGAGCTGTCGGAAACGGGTCAGAAAAGCAACATCATTCAGAAGGAGCAGGCAGGAGGGGCAGAGGGAGGCCGGGGGGGTCGGGCGTGAAGGTGTGAGGCTGGCCCGGGAGCGACGTGGTCGGAACGGGGTGAAGCCACGGCCGGATGCTGCGTCGCGCTTGCGTCTTCCCTGGCTGGGAAGCCCCCGGCCCATCAAGGGGGCGGGCTGGTCAGAGCACATCTTGCCCCCAGCTTTGCTAACCCCAACCCTAACCCACCCCTCTGTGCTGACTCAGAAACCCATGCGTTTAACTCCCGGCAAGAGGCGGATCGGGGCTACAGCTGCCTTTGGGGTTTTGGAAATGGGAGGCAGGAAAGGCCGGACGTGTTCTGGCCCCCCGGCCGGTTTCTTGGACGTCTCTGCTTCTTCCTCATCCCCTGCTTTGCCCACTGTGAGGAGGGGCTCTCGAAAGCGTGCATTTTTGGGCCACTTCGCTTGGCCCGAATAAAAGCACTGTCTGCAAATGGTTTTCCTCTTTTCTGCCCCTCTCCCGACCCAACCCGACCCAGCGTGGCGATCTGCTTTTCAGACTCCACTCTGACACCTGGCCCGCGAGAGCACCTGACTGCCGCTTCGCAGCTGCCTGGCACATCCACACACGGGATCCGCACTAGGAGGAGGTGTGAGCAGAGCCAACGGGAGCGCATGAAGCCATGGAACCTCAGCTTCCACGGCGGGGAGGGGGCGACGGGCAGCTCCCACCCGATGACCACAAATCCACGCTTGGACGCACCCGGGCCTTTGCCCCGATGCCTCTGAACTCTCCGAAGCTCAAGCGCTCGCCCAGCGATCGATCGATCGATCGGGGCTGGTGAGCTTCCGGGGCAGCTTCTCCCCCGCCCCCAGCCAAGCTCCGTGCTGCCTCTACCTGGACTTGAGGATGTGCTCTCACACCAACTCTCGTTTCACCAGCAAGCACCTGTGCCCATGTACCTGCCCCCGAGTGTGTTTGCCCCCTCCAAAAGAGAAGGACATCAGGACGGGTGTCGTCAACAGAAGACACCTGCCGTGTTCGGGCCCTGCTCCGGGTCGCACCTGCCTTGTTCCGGTTTGTTTCTGCCTCGCTCCAGCCTGCGCCCTTTCCTGCTCTTCCCATCTTTCCTCCGAGTAGACCCTCCCCCTCCCCCCACTGAAGAGAAGCCTAGTTAAGATTCCAGAGCTGTGTCCTTCCGGGGGATTGTGGGAAACAGCACCAACGCGATTCTTGCTGGGATGGCAGCTCAGCACCTCCCGAGCAGCCCTTTCCAGCCGGCGCCGGAAACGAGGCGTGAGCAAGCCGCTTGCTTCCGCTCCTTCCCTGACAAGGGCTGGCAGGCCCAAACCTGCCTGGTAGCAAACTGCCGCCCAGGTAAACACCTGGAGGCCCTCTCCGTCTCTTTCTGGCCAGGGGTTGCAGGTGCTCTGAATAAATAAGGCGCCACATTCCATACCCAGAAAGGATTGTGCGGAACGCGGGTGTTTGCACAATCCATCCGGCGAGCCGGCAGACCGCCCGGGAGTGAGATGGGGAGCGTGGTGCGTCTCCTGGGCGGGTGGGAAGGCCCACGCAGCTCCCGCAGCCCCCACCCCACCCGCTTCTGGGATTTCTCCAGTGCTTTTCCAAGGCGAAGCAAGGGAAGGGGGCAAAGGAGGGCAACCGGCGTGGCTCGGCGGGTGGGGGAGCCTAAGCCCCCCACTCTGATTTCCCGCTTCTGCAGGAGGGGTAGAGCGGGGGCCGAGCCAGCAAGGAGCAGCACAAGTTGGCCAGGATTGTGCTCAGGACCAGAAGCAAGATTTCAGCGGCGGGGAGAAGCTTGGCTGGCAAAGGTGGGAAGCGAGGATGCTGGGCCAAGCTCGGGGGCCGGAGGGGTTGCCCCGCACAACTGAGGGCTCCCAGCCAGTTGGCTGCTCTGTTTGTGGGCATCCCAAGGCCTGAGGGACTCCAGAACCGGCAGGGAAAACTGGACAAATTCAGCTCCTTGCCGGGAGTCGAGTTTTCCTTCCCGAAGCTCCCCTCTGTGCCTCCTCCGCAAAAGCCCGAGACGCATCCGAGAAAAAGGCGAGGGCCAGGTGAACCGTGCTGGCTCGTGGATGCTGGGAACTGGGATCCAAAAGCATCTCGGGACCCCCAGCTGGGAGGCTGCTGTGGACTCTCCGGCATCCGCAGGCACGGTGGAACCGGAGAAGCAGGAACACAACAGATGGAGACCTTCCTCCAACCAGAAGGTCACGATGCGCTGGCGGACAGGACAAAAGCGCCCCCTCCCCAAAACACCCCCCCTCTTTGAGCTGAAGCCTTCACTACCAGAGCAACCAAGCCTCGGGGCGGGGGGCACCTCAGCACTGAAGGATGGGGGGAGAAGCGCGCAGAGGCCCGGAAGTCACCAAGGAGCCGGGAGGCGGGGAGCAGGGGGTGGCCATCTGAGGGACTGTGGCGAGCCGGGCTGGGTCAGAACCGTGGAGGTGAGCTCGGGGTCTCCACGTGTCTTCCCGCAGACGAAACCACCCCTGGAGCAGACCATAACAGGCCCGATGGGACGGGGGCCAGGCGGAAATACCGGTGACATTTGAAAACGGAAGCCTCTGGGAAGGAAGGTGGCCCCAACCCACTGAGCGGCTCTCTTGCTCTTTGAACCTGCACCCCGAGATTATTCGCTTCCCTGGAGGAGTAAAGGGGCCCACGAGTCCGCCGTACTAACACCGCCCCCGAAGTCCCTCGCTTGGCCTCAGACCCATGTCCGGCACATCGCCTCCCTCCGTATCCCGCCCTTTCCTCCCGGGGGCCTGGCGAGCGAGCTCTCCCGCCACAGCCACCCCGTCCCCCTCGTCCCAGGGCTCGCCTGAACCCGGCGCCAGACTCCAAGCGAGCGGCAGGCCCACCCGACACCCTACCTTGCTGTTCTGGATCAGCCGGATGATGTGCTCAAAGCAGTTGTTGCTGAGGAAGAAGGCCTGCAGGACGGGGCGGTCGTCGCAATTCAGCATTTCTGGGATGGCATCTGAGGAGGAGAGTGAGGAGGGGGACCGCATTCAGCTGCCCGCTTCTGCCCGTGAGGGACGGGCGCGGGGAGCAAGCCGCATCCTGCACGCTTCTTCCGCAGGGCTGTGCCTCAGCACAGCCAGACAGAGAGAGAGAGGGGAGAACGGCCCTTTGAAGGACTAAGAAGAGTTTAGGAATGGTATTTAGGGTTTTGCAGCGTCCCAAATGGCAGAGGCCTCAAGAGCCACGACCGGCGTCCTCGCAACTGTTCCCTTCACCTTAGAAAGGGTGCCAAGATGCGGCTTTGCAGTGCGGGCTTTCAAAACATGTCGTTTTAGACAGTTTTTATCCATCGGATGGTTTTGCGCTCAGTGGAGATGGTGGTATATAAGGGTTAATGCATGGCCAGATACTGCTGCGAGGGAAATAAACGGGTGAAGAGGACAAGGGCTACCACCGGCCGAGCCACGGGGAGGCGGCACTGGGTCCGGGTTCGAGGGCTGCCGCTGGAAAGGGGATGGGTCAGCCACAAAGAGGCTCTCGAGCTGCCTTCATTGGGAGACGCGGAAACTCCAGTTGCGTATTTCCTGGCGGATTCTCTGCCTTGAACTTGACTTCTCCCGGTCCCCAAAGGAATGCTTGCTTAGTGATACAAAAACCTTGGGCTTTGGGAGCCTTCTGAAAGGCTTCCCCTCGTGGGCCAGGAGCTTGTGAGAGGATGTGGGAGCCTCTGCCATGAACGGCACAGGCCCCGGGTGCTGCCCAAGCAGCGGGTGGGGGAAGATGCGGGAGCAGCGGGGGGCGGGGGGGGGCTGGAGGCTGCGGGGTGTTGAGGCTGCGCTTGTCGCCTTGAAACGTGGACTGGGGCTGACAGGCAGGAGTAAGGGAAGCGCAAAGTTTTCGCCTCCCCTCCCCTCCCCTCCCCTCCCGTCATTGTGGCGTTTCAAGCCACCCAGACGAACGAGGCGAGTGGAAAGAGGACCCTCCGAGCCGCATCCCACCGACCTCAGCTTCTGGGCTGGGATTCTGGAAGGAGCTGCCGATCCGACTCTTGAGAGCGAAGAGAGGAGCGGTCCCCCAAAACCTCTCCCAGCAACACAAAAGGCGTTTCCACGGCAACCCTCCCAGCCTCACTCCGGAGCCGTGCAAAGGCCCCCAGTGGGAATTCCGGGCTACCTTCTGCTCACACCTGCCCTTGGGACATGGCAGCAAAGGCTGGGACCCTCGCCCTGGCGGAGGAGCTCCCCTTCCACACCTGGGGGGCCGGCTGGTTCTGGGGCCCGGTGGAAGCCAAGACGGCGGAGGAGGGCAAGTCTTGCGGGGCCTCTGTCCCACGGGCGCAGCACCCCCGGACAGGCCAGCTGGGAAGGGGAGAGGAGCGAGGCGAGCTTGCTCCGGCCCCCGACCCCGTGACACGGGATTGGGCTGCAAGGGCCATCCAGCGTGGGGCCCCGTGTCCCTCTCAGGCGCCAGCCCTTCTCCAGACGGTTCTCGGAAGTGCTTTCTAGTTCAGGTTCGACAAACCGCTCTGCACACGCTCAGGGACTTGCCTTCCTGGCGACCAATTGTTAGCTGGGGACCGCGAACGAGGGGTGCTTTGCCAAGAGCTCCGCCGTGCCTCGCAACCCACGAGGGGGATCCCGCCCCCCGGCCGCGCAGGGTTTCTCCTCATGCCCGGTTCAGTCGCTGGCGGACTGGCCTGGCCGCTCCGGCACGGAAGGCGGCCAGGGCCCTGCTCCGCCGGGCCGCCACTCACTCACCCAGCATGCTCACGCGGAGGGCGACGAGCCGCTCCTCCCAGCGGGGGCCCGGCGGGCCGTCCCGCGCGGCCATGGGCTGGTCGGCGTTGAGCACCTTGAAGTAGCAGTCCACGATGGCGCGGATCTCCACCTTGCGCTGCCCGGGGCTGCTGCCGTGGAGCACGTGCACCATCCGGACCAGGCTCTTCAGGGCCAGCTGCAGCAGGCGGGGGTCCCGGGGGGCTCCGCCGGCCGGGGAGCACCACCGCCGGAGCACCAGCATGAGGACCTCGACTGAGGACGGGGTGACCGCCAGCAGCGCGTTGTGCTGTTGCGGGGAGGGAAGCCGGGCGGTTGGAAGCTGCGCTGGAGCAGCCCTGGGCTGCAGACCCCCCCCCCCGGGAAGGACCTTGTGGGGCATCCCGAGCGTCCCACCTGCCGCCCCCTGCCCCGGACGCAGGAGGGTTGGGCTGCGGGAAGAAGGGGCTTGCGACCCGGAGAGGTGCGAAGCCAGCTCCTCATCCCCTAGAAAAGGGGTGGGGGGCCAGGCTTGGAGGCCCAACGGCCCACTGGGCCCCCCGGCCAGCCACGCCTCCCCCACCCCAGCCCCAGCCAGGCTCTCGCGTCCGTTACTCCCCTGCCTTGCAAAAGGCCTCTTCCCCCAACTGCCATGGGCTCACTCGCGGGCAGTCGGCTCTTGGGGGCGAGCTGGCGCTGCGACCCCCAGCCTCCATCCCCAGCTCGGCAAGTGGAGGGGCTGGGCCGGCACCCTCTGCCCCGCCAGCACACGACCGAACCCCCCGAGCGACGCACACGCGGCCCAGCCCTCCCCAGCCGGCAGAGCCCAGCTGGACGCCCTGCAAGGCCAGCGCGGGGAGCCGGGGCCCCGACGACCAGGCGGGAGAGGGCCGATGAAGGGTGGCTTCTCCGGGGCTCGCTCGGCACGCCGAGCCGCGTCTCCCAAAGCAGGGAGTGGGGAAGCGGCTTGCCTTGCCTCCGGAGAGAACGGCTCCGAAGAGATGGATGAGGCGCAGCTGCAGGGCCTCCGGAAGCTCGTCGCCTTCTTGGAAACATTCTAGGAAAGCAAGGAGGGAAGCGGGGAGAGGTCATCTTGCAAATGCCAGCGGCTTGGTGCAATCGGAGAGCTGGCCCCCTCCTGGGGGGGCCCTGTCCCCCTCCCCCACCGCTGCAGCGGCTCCCCCGCCTCTTCCTTCCCCACAATTTATTTATTTATTCATTTTCCGATGTATATCCTGCCGATTTCCTGCAAAGGGCTCAAGGCAGCTTACATCTCCTCCTCCACCTTATCCCCACAACAACAACCCTGTGAGGTAGGCTGGGCCGAGAGTCTGTGACTGGCCCAAAGGCACCCAGTGGGCTCCATGGCCGAGCGGGGACTCGAACCCGGATCCTCTGAGTCCCAGTCCCACGCTCTCGACCACTGCGCCACACCGGCTCTCCATGAAACTGGTGCTCAACGGGGCCACACTGCACGCTCACACCCCCGCTGCTCTGGCTCTGTCGCAAGCCTTCTTAGCGCCGACGTCGCTTTCCTGGGCTTTGCCACATCCCTCCTCTTGCCGCACCTGGATGTGGCGAAACGCTTTCCACGCGGGGCATGTGTCAGCAGCCGCTCGATCACGAGACGGGCACGGGGGGTGCGGGGAGGAAATGGCTGCCCCCGGAAAGCCCGGCCGGCGGCAAATTCCACGCCTTTCGCATCCCAACCCAGGCGAGCGCAAGTCCGCCTGCAGTCGCCTTTCCACCACAGCCCGCCCATTCGGAGGCCTTCTGCTCCCTGGAATGTGGCTTTCCCTTTTCGGCATTTTTCTCTGGACAAGGGGACGTGACACGGGTTGCTTCATGCAAAAATGCCGGTTCTCCGCGTGTGGAGGAAAGCGCCACATCCCAACCTATCCCGGGGGCATGCCGTGGCACAGGGGCGGGGGAACTTGCTTCTGCTCACCCCCACCCACGGGGAACCCTGGGCTTTGGCACCTGGCTGCGCCCCCCCCCCCCCCGCGCCAGCACTGGCGTTTAAAAAAATGGTGCAATCCTGGCACGGCTTGCGCAGAGAAAGCGCCTCCGACAGCTGGCGGGCCCGTTTTCTGTCCGCACACGCACAGAATCTGAGATGTGCTTGGCGGCCTCTTCCTTCTCCTATCGCGCCTCTTCAACGGAAAGCCATCGTTTTCAGCGGTGAAGCACGTGGCCCTGCTTCGAAAGGGAGGCGTGTGAGGACTGGGCTTCAGCGAAACCCGGGCTGCCCACAAAGCAACGCACGAGGGCAAGCGGTTATGCGTCTGTGCAAGTGACAGCTCCGCTCACCCTTGAAAGAGCCCCGAGAAATCCCCGGCCTGTGCTAAAATAATTACAAGTCCATCAATTCAAGTACTTTTCTGTCACAGACACCTGGCAGAAAAGCCCCTAAAATGCCTAGGGATATTTTTGTTGCCATCTCTGGGCGACGCTTTCTGCAAATCCGTCCTCCTTTGCTGATCGGATGCTCAGAGAAGAACCCCGTGCATGGATTTTCCTCCTCACGGGGCTTAGCCTCGCGCTCACTGGCCACGGACCTTTCTTCATCCCAGAGGGGCATCGAAAGCAGCAGAAGAGATAAATCAACTTTAGATCGGTGGGATAGGGGAGAGCTAATGGTACTTTAATGTCTGGAACCGCCGCAAAATTACATCTCCCCCCACCACGTTTTATTATTTTGTCACTCAGTTGCTCTGGTAACCTACTCAAGGATATTTCGTCTTTGACCCTCTTTAAAGCTGCTGTGGGGGAATCTAATAAATTTCTTGGCAGGAGAAAAGCGGCTGAAGGCGACAATGCACCGTGAGGCGGGGGGAAGCCCCCTCTCCAGGGAGGCAAAGTCACCTAATGCATATTAATTGTCCTTTAATCACCTTTTTATTTTATCTTTTTTTTTTCTGGCAGTCCCAAGAGGGCAGCCTGCGGTCCTTTCAAAAGCGGGCTTGTGGAGAAGTGTTTCTGCTAACAGGGCGATAGAGAATCCGTTTATCTTAATGACAAAGAGTGGGATGCGGGGCGGGGGGGGGGGGGGGCAGTCAGGCCTGCAGGAACTTTTCTGCTTTTACTGGGACCCTGAATTCTGATACCCAGAATAGCGGCTTAGGGACACCACGCGAATTTAGGAATTTGTTCTGGTTGGATTAAGCTGGGGCTTGGGAGATCCGGGTGTCTTGGCGTCAGTCACTGACTTGGCCTAGCCTACCTCACAAAGTTGTTGTGGGGGAAAAACGGAGGAGGTTGTGCACAGTGCTTTTGGCTCCCTGGAGGAAAAAGGGTCGCATTTAGTGAGCAACCGATCCCCTGAATGGCCTGTTTGCCAAATGAGAGCCAGTGTGGCGCAGTGGTGAAGAGCGCGGGACCGGGACTCGGGAGACCCGGGTTCGAGTCCCTGCTCAGTCATGGAGCCAAGTGGGTGACTTTGGCTGGGTCAGACTCTCAGCCCAGCCTACCTCACAGGGCTGTTGTGGTGAGGATCAGAGGGCGAGGAGAAGAGAGTTACTTAACCCGCTTTGCGTTCCCTGGAAAGAATCACGGTGGGATGTAAATAAATAAATTACTTCCATGCACTGAAAGCACGTGCCAGGATAGGTAGCGGAGCGAGACGGCGAGTCAAGGGACGTGACTTTGGGGTTTTTAGTGTTGTTTAGAGCCGGAGTGTTTTATTTGGCTCCTGGGCCGCCACACGCCTCGTGCTCGCCCCTGCGGAAGCTCGCAGGACTGGAAGGGAAACAGCACAGAACCTTGGCCCCCTGCAGGCGTTTCCGGAGCCACAGCCAGGAAGGCCGCGGGGTGGGCTTGCGGGAGACGGGATGGGGGCGCTGGCAGAGCCGCTGCAGGACTTACCTTGGAAAAAGGAGTTGAACTCGGGAGGCAGCACCACTGGCGGGAACTTGTATTTGCTCTTCTCCTTCATGCTGACAATCTCTCTGGGAGAAGCAAAGAGCACAGAAGAGCTGCAGAGACGCCACGGGGGGAACGGGGGGGATGCAGCCAAGCCGCAGCCCCCCCGGGAAAAGGCTCTGTGGCAAATTCCAGTCCAGGACCCACAGGGGCCGCTTCTCTGCTGACCACTGGCTTTCCAGAGGCCTGGCTGTCGCTTTTCTGGGAAAGGGAGTCCAGCTGACGAACCAGAAAAGACTTGCAGGCCGTTTCTGGATGGCCAAGCGAGGCGTTTGGCTTAACTTTCCTCCGGGCGGAGGCTGTTTCCTCCTACCCTGAGTGGCTGTCACCAGCTGGCTGCAAGCACCATCACACCGACTGGCTGAGGATGATGGGCGCTGTGGGCGGACACCTCCGAAGGGTGTCCGGTCGGGGACCGCTGCTTTCTACCTTACGCCCCTTGGAGAGTGCGACCCACTCCTACAAGCGAGGATCTGAAGCAACGGGCACCCCGGACCAGCCAGCCACGCGCCGGGAGGTTTCTGGGAGAGGCCGATCTGGCTGCGGGACGGACACCGAGCGGTCCCACGTGCGGAGGCTTTTTCTGCAGGGATGCTCTGGCAAGGGGGGGGGGGTCACCCGTAGCGTTATGCAGGGCCCCGACTTTGCTAAAATTCCGGCACTGGCTGGAAAGACCCCGCTAACGTTCTGTGGCTCTGCGGTGTCTTCCGTGAGGTGCGAGCCGGGCCGGGAGACTCACTCACCCGCTCAGCTGCCTACGCCACGTCTGGTACGGATCGAAGAGGCATTCCGAAAGGTGCAGGGCGTAGAGAGTCACATTCTCCAGCCGACTCTGGGAAGGCAAAGGCTGCCCCTGGGTGCTTTTGAGCTGTCAAGGACACGGAGAGCTCAGTTAAACGGCGGCCCGCGCTTCCTTGGTGCGGGGGTGGGGAGGGATTTTTTTTAAAGCACTTTCCCTAACCAAACAGCAAGTTCAAATACATTCATGTCATTAAATGCACTTTGAAGATACGAACAGCTGGGATAGGCTGCTGGCACGAATTTAATCCATCTGATCACAAGGACTCTTCAGAGTCAGAAGCACAAAAGTGGAAAACGGGCATGACTGCAGCAGGCTGCCAAGAAAAGCCCTTAGAGATGGTTTTCAGTTCTGCAACAGGGCTGTCATGTCACTAGTCCACATGGCTTCGGCTACGTGAGCTTTTCAGGACAGGGAATGGAACCCGAGGCTTTTGTGAATGGGGCGGCATAAAAGTATTCCAAACAAACAAACAAACGAACAAAGCTGGTGGGAGCAGTGAAGAGAGAAGGATTAAGGCAAGCTGGCAATCCATGCCTCGAGTCGAGCCTGCAGAGCATCCCCTTCTGCCTCACACTCGCAGCCCTTACTGGGTCCATCAGGCTTCCCACTATTGCTCCGGGCCAGGCGATCAAATTCCTCTTCAAGGAGCAGATACTCCTGGCTTCCCAGGAATGCAGAACATCCTCCTAACCTTGTGTACACAGTGCCAGAAGTTCACGCTTACCTTCCGCGAGTAGGCAGACAGCAGATTGATCACTTCTCGGACAAACGCCGGAGGTCGGTCAGCTTGGACGTTTTCGAGATTCCTGCAAGGAAGGCGCAGGAGCATGTGAGAAAGGATCCGGCCTCGCAGCCCTGGGGCAAGGAGAGGCGCAAAGGCCTCTGCCACCGGCAAGTTCCCAAGTGAGTAATTTCTTTGCTCGGACACTAATTCCCCAGCGAGGGAGTTGGGAGCATCGATTAGCTACCTACAGACCCGGACGCCAGAGCCGCTGGGTGGAACCGTGCGAAAGGGAACCAAGGAAGCTGGTTCTTTCTGGATGCTTACAGCTGCCTTGCAAGCGATCCTGAGCACGAAGGAATATGCCCACGCACCCTTGCAAGTTTTTTTGTAAGGGGCGGAGCAAATTGCTGAGGCCCTCAGTGCTCACAGAAACTTGAGAGGCACTGTTAACAAGGGACGTGACTCTGGGGTTTTTAGTGTTGTCAGAGCTGGAGGGCTTTATTTGGCCCACAATAAATTGTGTTTATTTGCTGTTGTGCCAAAAGGCAGGGCTGTCTCTCTGCCAATACAAGGCTTTCCAAGAGCAGTGGGAAATGCCTTCTGTACATGTGCAAATATGGCACATGTATGTGTCATGATACGGTTATCAGCATTGCTCTATGTTCAGTGGTCCTGTGCCACGAGTCAGGATGGCTTGCATCACGGCTGGCTCCTCTGGCCGAAACACACGAGACAACACGGCAAGAAAACGTTCAGACAAAGGCTGAAAACCCCCGAGAAAAGCCCCGCAAGGCCAGCCTGAAAGTTCCTGCCTGCTCATGTCGAGGGCAGCCAACCGGCACGTCAGTTTGCACGGGACTCCCCAGCACTCAAGCGCTGCTCTGCCCCCCGCCCAGCAAAATCGCGGCTCCCCCAGGGCTGGCTGCCGCCTCTTCCCTGGCAGCTCCCCCCGCCGCCGGGAGCAGCAGGACCGGCGCCGGCTCAGCGGACCAAGGTCTGCCCCGCAAGGCGAGGGACGCTGCTCCAGGACGCTGAAGGGGCAAGAGCCTGGGGTAAGTGAGAAAGCGTGTGTGTGTGTGTGTGTGGGGGGGGGGGCAGTCCAAGCTCCTGCAGTCAAACCTCACGACCACCTCCCTTTGTGTGTTGTGTGCAGGGGGGTCTCCGAGGACCTGAAATGATGCCCCCCCCCCATTTCAGAGTGGGTGAAGTGTGATAGGAAATAGCGGGATGGTAGGAAATACCTGAGCATTAGGATGCAGAGTGGCAGGGAATACCTGAGCATTAGGATGCAGAGTGGCAGGGAATACCTGAGCATTAGGATGCAGAGTGGCAGGGAATACCTGAGTATTATGCCACATGGCTCTTCCGCCCTTAAACAGACCCAGCCCTGTATGAACTCCACTGCTTTGAGGCGTGTGCTTTAATTCAAGTTCCCACCCCATGGCACATTACCAAAAACGTCCCAGGCCTGGCAATCACTCCACTGGGGGGTTTAGATCAAGTGTGAGCCCCCTCCACCCACCCGTCCCCCAAAAGCACACACTCCGCTCAAGCCGCACGTCTGCATTTTAAAATCAGACCCAGGATCCGAGTTTGCACCTGGAACACCTGTGTGGGCAGAACCAGGCTGAGCATCGGCCACACCTAAATAAATAGGTAAGTGCAGGAAACAGGCCAGGTCCCCTTCCCACCACCTGCCCCCATCCAGCATGCTGGCCCCTCTGGCCCCAAGAAGTGGGGAAACAGCCAACCTTTTCTGGAAGCCCTCAGTGAGCGCCATCCTTCTGAACAAACAGGTCTCTTCTTCAGGCAGAGAGCGGAGAGCCAGTTGGCCCAGCAGCTCCACAGAGGGGGCTGTTTTGCTCTCCATGCACAGCTGTGCGTGGGCGGGAGGGAAGCCGACTACTCCAAAAGCGGCGTGGGCACGTCCCACCCCTGCGCAAGCCCGTCCCCGGGGTGTTCCTGTCGGCACCATTAATGAAGGCTGCCCTGCCACACGCCCCTTCCCCCCCACCCCCGCGATCAGCGCATTGCAATTTCAGCTCCCCGCCGGCAACCGTGCGAGGGAAACAATCATCGGCCGGGCCTTATCGCTCCCTCTCAGACCGCAGGCCTTGCGCGAAGAAAATGCGAGCCGCTCGCCGCGTGCCGTGCCAAGAATAACCCTCGGCGGGGTTTGAAAGACGGGGGGGGGGCACGGAGCCGGTGAGACCCGGCAGGAGGCGGGGGCAGCATGTGCCAGAACGGGAAGGAGACGGGCGCTGATTGCGCGGGCAGGCGGGTGAGACCTCGGCCGCCCGGCCTCCCGGGGACGGAGAGGCGAGGGGCCGGCAGGGACCGGTCGGGGCGGGAAGCTCGGCCGCGCGTCCCCCCGGGGCCACGAAGGGCAACGTGGGGGGGGGGGGCAAACCAGGCTGGCCGCCGGGGGGGGAAGGGCTGCCAAGGTGGGGGCCGGCGTGTGCCCGGAGAACCGCCTCCGGAGCCGGGGCAGGCGCCCGGCCGGTCTCTTCGCAGCAGCCTCCTCGTGCGCCTGCCTCCCAAAGTTCGGAGCCGGCTTCTGTCTCCCAGGCACCCCGTGTTCCCCACTGATTTGGGGAAGGGCCGTAGCGCAGCGGTACAAGGGAGGCGCTCAGCCCAGTGCTGGCACCCCGGTCAAGCAGTCAGGACACAGGCAGCGACGTGGGGGGGCCGCAGGTGGCTCGGCACAGGTGTGGGTTGCGTGACCCGGCTGAGCTTTCCAAGCGATGGCAAGGGGGATCACTGCTGCAGAAGCAACCCTCAGCAGCGCCTGCCAGGTCCTCTGCGGCTGCGGGCCCAGGCGAGCGAAGGGCCCGGGCACCACAAGGACCCTCCCCGTCTGAGGTTAGGCTGACGGACAACCAGCTCCTCCCGCCCTGTCCTTCCTCTGCAGCTGTGCCCCAAGGGGGTGCCCCGTGCCCCCAGGGACGCTGCTGCGGTGCCAGCAAAGCCCTTTGTCCAGGCCTTTTCAAATCCTCTTAACTGTTTTTGTTTCGGCTTCCTCCTGTACTCTTACTGTCCCGCTCCTTTCGTGAGCTTTAAAGGCCTGTCATACCTTGGCTGTATCTTTATTTAAACCATTTCATATTATTTAACTGCCTTGGAAACAGGATTAGTAAATATTGGAATAGAATGGCATAGAATAGAATAGAATCAGTTTAAGGAACCCGATGCAATCAGCAATGCACATTCAAAACCATCCCACCCTCCAGGGGGGCAGACCATGGTTGGAATTCCCATTCACTTCCAGAACTTTTCCTGTTCTAAAAAACTACACTCCCCCAGAACCAAAAAGCTGAAATTTTATTTATAGTATTTTCATTTTTAGCCGTTCTCTCCAAGTCCTCAGAGAGATGCTTCAATTTTATAGCAGGACCCAAGCCAGAGAGAGCGACTACCTCGTCTCCCGATGTGCCACAATAGGCAAGCCACAGGAATTATCTCCGAAAAATGAATTTTCCTCCCGTCTTTTAAAGAGAAGCATGATAGTACTGCCACCGATGGTTTCCGATAGCTGTTCATAAAAACAAGCCGGGGACTTCTTGTGGAAGAGGGAAGGGTCAAAGGTAGGAAGCTATCCAAATTTTTGTATTTTCCACAAAATTGAGGACAGACAGCTATTTTCCACACATGGCACCCCAGTGGCCGCAGGCAGATCCAACCTTTTGCTGCCTTGCGTCCACTAACCAACACAAACCAGGGGAAGCTGTTGGATCCAGGCGTAGCAGAAGTTCCACATTTCAAGATCCGTCAACTTTTTCTTTTTTAATTATAGGAGGACAAGAGTTTCTGGCAATGAACTACTGCAACGAGGCAACTGAAAAACACACAAACAAGCTACCTTGGCTGAAGAAGCAGGCTTAAAAGCTGTTGATGGCATTGGGAATAGCTAGCAAACATGACCCTTGTTGTTGATGCTATTTGCATATTTCAACATCGGTGTTAATAGCGAACAGCCAAGTATGCATTCTAGCAAAAAAAAAAAAAAAAGGTCTATTTTCCCCATTTTTTCATGAGCGCCTTTCCAGAACAAAGGTTTCCATGGACAGAAGCCTAGCTTCCAATGTATGATATGATGAAGGATGATTGTGGTTTATAGCTGACCCCTGGGGTGGCCAGTGGCACTGGGCCTCAGCCCACCAGAGTCTAATCCAAAGCATTCCTGAAAGGATCAACTGGATTCACTGGAAATCCAGAAGCCCCTCTGTTTCAGCCTCTGGGTCTTCGTGCCAGTAAGGCAAACTTTCATCCTTTTTTCTTGCTAGAAAAGGAAAAGAGAAAAGGAAAAGGAAAAAGAGGGGGGGAAAGAAGCATACAGCAAGAATGGAAGGTGAGAATCTGCAGATAGCGGCTTCCCTTGCGCCCACAGCTATCCAGGAGGGCTGGAACAGCCACTGCCCAGCCCTTGGTGGACAAAAAAAATGTACTGATGTTGGTCCATAGGAATGTGAGACGCTTCCCTAATGCCGGGGATCAAATCGAGACATTTCCTTGCAGAACGCAGTTCGGCTCACTTATTTGAGCTTTCTTCTGCTCCTTTAACTGCACAGCCCGGACTGCATGGATTTATAGGTGGGACAACGTCACCCGGGCAGAAAGAATCGTAACTTTGCCACCATCCAATGTCCCGGCTGCTCATGCAATACTACCGGAGCTCAAATGTGGTGAAATATTCCAGGGAGGGAGGAAATCCGATTCTTCCAGCTTGCAGACGGCAGCTGTCAGCTTCTTTACTGCTTGTGAAGAATTCTTGGAGCGAGAATCTCTGGATTTTGAACGTTCCAGCACCCAAGAAATTCGGGGCCGGGATCCCATGGGGAATAAGATGCGAGGGGAGAAGAGGGTGGCAAACAGCAATTCGCCCCCCCCAGCTGCAACATCAGTGCATCACCCCCCCCCCCAATATGTTGTGAGCCGCCCTGAGGCTTCGGCGAATGGGGCGGCACAGAAATGTTTTAAATCAATAAATAAAATGAATATGTTACAAGCAGTCTTGGCCAGAGCATCAAGGTCACGGTGCAGGCATCCAATCGGGGTCCCCCGAGCCCCCAACCTTTGCAAAGCTTTGGGGGCATGGAGAGGGGTCGGGCCAAGAGCAGCAGGAGAGGGAGGGACAGAGCGGTAAGCGCTTAAAGAGACAGATGTGCCGGAAAGGGTACCAGACTGGTTTCCATGGAAACAGAAGACGTGGCGGGAGAGCCGGCGATGGCGATGCTGGACTGAGCACAGAGGATGCGAGGGGAGAGGGTGTCTGCCTAGAAGGTGGGCTGGGGTCCCCGGGAAAGGGCCAGAGGAACCATGTGCCACGGCAACGAGGGGAGGAGGCTGCTTAAATGTGGGCCTTTTGCCCACATTTGGCTTGGCCAGCTCACGCCTGGTCCCTGCAGAAGTGCGGGCCAAGCAGGCGTGTTAAAGCCCCTGTCCGGACCAGGCTGCACCTACTCGAGAGTAAAAGACGGGAAAGGAGCTGCCCGCCCATGTTTCTGTGGAAGTGCAGCATTCTAGAAAAAGGGATGGTCCATCAACCTGATGGGTTCTAAGTTTTAATTTTCTTGCATTTTTATTGTGCTATAGAAAAACAACCAAGCCACCATTAAAAAGGGGGGGAAATACAACATTTCAGCAATATTGAAGAAAATAAAAAAATCCATCGCACTAGAGGCATTTATATTGTGTGTCCCTGTATGTTGATATTTAAAAGAACACCTCCCTGCTATCAACAGAAAAAACCGCGGCTCTCAGTTATAGTGCAGCTCTTTCTAGGGCTGGCTCCACTCGTTGCCAAGAGTAAGGAGGGGGACCTGATCCACACGGGTTGTTCGCAGCCGCCTTCACGCAGGCTGGGGAAGCTGCCAGGTCCACTTTGCTGTGCTCCCCAGGGTGGATTTTAGAACATGAGTCCCAAATTGCAGAGTGCAGATTAACTTGAATTGCACCCTCGAAGGGCCCAATCCGGCCTGGGACCAGGATACCTAAAGGAGTGCCTTTTTCCCTATTTGCCCTCCCGCCCCCTGAGATCGGCGGCAGAGGCTCTTCTCCGGGAACCCTCCGTGAAAGACATTAGGAGGCAGAGTACCCGGAGGAGGGCCTTCTCTGCGGTGGCGCCCCGACTATGGAATGCGCTCCCCAGAGAGGTCCGCCTGGCGCCATCATCATATGTTTTTCGGCGCCAGGTCAAGACCTTTTTATTTAACCAATATTTTAATATGTATTAATAGTAATTGGATTTTATTGTTTGTATGTTATTAATTACAGCCAGCGTGGAATAGTCAATGTATTTATTTTATTCTGACTTATGTTGTATGCCGTCCAGAGATGCAAATAATAGACGGCATACAAATTTAATCAACCAATCAATCCATCCAGGACTCTGCAGAGTTCCAAGCAATGCCATGTCTCTTCCTTCTGCGTCCACATATTCGCCCAGTCTTACCGCCTCTTGTAATTATTCCCAGAATAGAGGGAAGACGGGTGAGGCCGTAAAATGTAGGAAGAGACAAGACTCCCTCCCGTCCATGCCCACAAACAGCATAATCCTGATTTAGAGCTAGGCGGGATGAGGTGGAGGAGCAAAAGCAGATTTCCTAAGCGGAAGTATTTTAGGGAGGAAAAAGCAAGGGGAAGCAGGATTGCACTGAAATTGGGGCCTGTACACTTTCTGGAAGGCTCCCCCACCCCCCTCCAGCTAGCAGGACGCTAAAAATAAAAGCTCAGAGAAGTTCACACAGATCCATTCTGCAAATAATGTCAACTTTGGCAAGGTTTATCGGTTTATTCCCACCAAAACATTTACTGAATATTTTCATTTACTCTGAGGATGCAGCTCCTTAACCTAACCCTTCATTCCTGTTGTTATTTCTAAAAACTGCCTAAATCAAATTCTTCTGGCTAAGAAGTCAAAATTCGGAAAGGAACACCGGAAGAGGATAGAATAAAGAGGCCAGCACTGATTCGGCAGGGAAAAGGCCTTGGATGCCAGCGCTCGCACGTTTCGTGCGCCACCTGTTTCCTCGTCATCCTAACACCTTTCTAAGAAGTTCTGGTCCCATTTAGGAACCTCCAAACTTCAGGGCTCAGGAGCATCTGTGCGGCACGGCGGTCTGAGAGCTGAGCTGGGACTCGGGGAACGCGGGGTCTCGTTGCCACCTGGCCACGAAACCCTTTGAGCCAGTTCCTGACTTTCAGCCTAACCTCCCTCACAGGGTTCTGCTGGGGATAAGGCAGAAAGAAGAGGAGAATCATGTAAGCGGTTTCGAATTCCTTGCAGGGCAAAATATGCCAAATGGAGAAATAAACATTCTGCTGCTAGATCAAGGTGCCATATTCATACTGCAAGACTAGCATACCCCACCCTATTTCTGGGGCTTGGAGGTTACATGGAACCCTTGGATGCATAGCCAGAAGCGTGGCTTCTAGATTGAGAGAGGTGTTACTGCCACTCTATGACTCTGGTGCGCCCGCAACTGGAGTATTGTGCTCAGTTTTGGGCCCCTCATTGCAGGAAGGATCTAGCCAGGTTGGAGTAAGCGCAGCGTAGGGCCACAAGGTTGGTGGCCGGTTTGCAGGGGATGATGGGGTATAAGGCGAGACTGAGGGAACTGGGCCTCTTCAGCCTGGAGAAGGGGAGACTCAGAGGGGATATGTTGGTGACATACAGGCATGTGAGGGGGCATCACACAGAGGTGGGGAGAGACCTGTTCTCCCCTGCAGAGGAAGGCAGGACGCGCTCCAGCGGAGCCAAGCTCAGGGAACCAAGGTTCAATTTGGGTGCCAGGAAGCACTTCCTGACAGTCAGGACCCCCAGGGTGTGGAATGGGCTTCCCCGGGAGGTGGCTGAGGCCCCATCGGTGCAAGGATAGGCTGGATGTCCACATGGTGGGCATGTCATGAGAGGAGCCGGCTGGAGCTGGGGGTCAGACTAGATGACTCGGGAGACCCCTTCTGACTCGCTCTGTTTCCATGCTTCTATTTGTTTGTTAAAAAGGATAAGACAAGAGAGGTCTCAGGACAACTACCGACTATCTCAGGATTTCCGCCTGGGCACGATCCCAGCCTCCTGCCCCTCCACAGCTCCGAGGATTCACCCAAGAGAGGCAGGATGTGCTCAGCAATCGGATTTCCTATTATTTTCTGGTGGGAATAAACCTGATCCCAACCCCCGTTTCATGAGATGAGCCGCCACCACGCGGTCCCCAGGCGGGAGAGGTGGGGCGTGAGCACCTGGCAGAGCAAAGCGCTTGTCTGCGATGCTAGACGCCGCCCCCAGCACAGGTGCCCAGCCAGGTGCTGCTTCGGGCGTTCAATGGAGGTGGGACCTGCGCCAAAGGGCGGCCGACCCGGCTGCGGCCAGGCTTGGAGCAAAACACCAGCGGAAAAGCGGAGCGGCCGAGACGTACCTGCAGATGATGATGAAGAACTTGACGATGAGGAGGGCCTGCCCGAGGCCCGCCTCGGCCACCTCCTGGCGGGCGCTCTGAGGCACGCAGTGAGCCAGCTGCTGGGTGAGCACATGGAGGACGTCCCGGGGGAGCAGCGGGATCTCGGAGACGGACTCCTCCGGCCTGCAAGGGACGAAGGAAGCAGAGGAGTGGGCCAAGGCGCCGCAGAAGCCCCCCACCGCCGAGGGCGGCCAGCGGGACGAGCGCCCGCCGATCCACCCGTGCCCCTGCCTACGCCCCTTCGCGCCGCCAGAACGGGACTACGCTTCGTGCGGGCAGGCTCCTGCTCCCAAGCGGTACGTGAAGAAACCCCTTCCTTTCATCGCTCCTGCCGCTCAGTTCCGCGGGAAGATCCGTGTGGGCTCTAGCATTCCAAGAGGGGGAGAAACATTCGGCCCCCCTGTTTTCTCCAAGCCGAGGGGAAAGACACGCACATCGCTCACTCCTTCCCGTAACAGCCTTTTCTCTAAGCTAAACAGGCAGAGTGGGGCAGAGCGTGGGCCTGGGAGCCGGGATCTGGCTTCGAGACCCCACTCAGCCATGAGGCCCACTGGGGCACTTGGGGCCAGCTGCAGGCTCAGGCCAGCCTACCTCACAGGGGTGTTGTGGTGAGGGGAAGACGGAGGGCAGGAGGAGCACTGTGGGGGCAGCCCTGAGTTCCTTGGAAGCAAAAAAGGAGGGCTATAAATATAATCAATAAGTGAATAAACAGCCTGATATGCTGTAACCTTTCCTCACAGGCAACTGCTCCAGAATCGTGCTTAATTTGGGGGCCCCGCTTCACTTTTCGGTCTGTATGGGATCCCTTCTGGTGTTCTTACACTTGGAAACAACAATAACTTCTGAGCAGGCAAGGGTTCAAATAGCTCGGCTAGCTGCGAAGCTCATAGACTGGCCTGGTCTACCTCACAGGGCTGTTGGGAGGATATGAGGAATCCCCCAAGCTCTTTGGGAGGAGGACAGAGAAGGAATGGGCTCGACGGATGAATCAGCTTTCCGTGAGAGTCTGGGGCACTTCATTTGTGTTTAACAGAGTTGTGCACGGCTTGGGACCCCACTGGGGAAAATGCTTCCACTGGAGGAGGACTGCAAGGAGGGAGAAAGGTGCAGAGGGGAACGACCGGGAGAGAAACGCGGAGAAGTGGAGTCGGGGCACCACCGTGAGAGTGGCAACAGCGTGGGAAGGTGAGCAATGCACCCAGCGCCGTCTCACTTTCAAGCACTGTAACGGGCAGGATGCGCACCTCAGGCTAAGATGCCCGTCCAAGCGCAGCAGAGCTGTAAATTCGTATTTCTCAGCTAGAGCAACTGGGGGCTTGCCTGGGTGGGTGGAGGCTGCAGACCCACCCACAATCCAGGGAGAGCCTCGGGCAAACCCCAGGGACCTCCTGCTCACGGAAGCACCTCTGCCCTGTTTTGGGGGGCCCCCCTTTCCCTATCCACCACACCCCATTCGGCAGGCTCTCCAAAGTCCGAGTAACTTTTGGAGGGGCGGGAGGGGTGGCCGTGGGAAGGGGGGGCAAAGAAGCTGCTGTCCTGGATACTCTTGATCCAGGCTATCTAGGCCCAGAGGCAAGTCTACCTGGTCTCGTGCCCCAAGGTGAGAGGGAGGGAGCGAGCGAGCGGTGCATCGAAGGCCGGAGGGACGCGCAAGATCCATCCGCCGTGTCAGAAGTTGTGTTGCCGCTCATCATTTTCGGTCGTCACAGGCTAAAAACAGCGCTCAGCGGTGCCCGCACTCAGCCTCAGTCCAATTTTGGCCATGAGAAGCTGAAGTATCGCCCATCGCTCACTGACACAGGGCTGGACAAGACCCACCTAAAAATAGCCCGGGGAGAAGTCTTCCGTCTGGGAACAAGGGCTGCCCTGATGCCGTGCCAGGCCCCATTCTGGCAGGCTGTTGGGGAGCTGGGCTGCCGCTAATTCGGAGGATGTGAACCCAGATGCGTGCGTGGGAAAAGCCTCCAACTCAGCACCAGGTCGTGGGGGGAGTCAGAGAAACCCACAGCGGATTCAGGTGCGTATGTATAATAGGGATCTGTGGGAAATCCCATTTGAAGTAGCTCCCAGGATTCTGCTGCGCTTCCCCACATCTATGAGCCAAGTTCCGGGCATGCACACCTGCTGCCCGCCGGGAACTGAGTCCTGCGCAACCGCCGTGCAAGCCGCACACAGGAGGGTCATTGCTGCGCGACCGCCACTGCGCACACGTTCACGGGCTCCTTCTTGCGCAGCCCAGTTTCTAAGGTGGCACCTCGGAGCCTATGCAGTTTCGTTGCAACACTAATAAATAGCACGCCCCCATATCCACATTATTATTTATTATAGCTGTATCGCACATTTTTCCTTCCGAGGGACTCAGAGCAGCTTCCATAATTCTGCTCCTCCCCCCCATCTTATCCTCAGGAGAGATGCTGGAGAGGCGGAGAAAGTTCACCCCGTCTCCGCTTTGCAGCTCTCTGGAAAGTGTCGATAACCGTGCAAGCCGTTTGCCTGTGCTTTTCTTTTCCGGGCGTTTTCACGGTAATCCTGACGGACATCTTTCAGGGATGCTTTAGAATGGAAGTGGGGGGGGGGGGCATTCACCCACAGGCTGAACGAAAAGAGGTTTAGATACTGTCCTGGATATAGCGATGGGACAAACTGGGCCGCAGCCACATTCAGTCTGCAGACGATACCAAACTGGGTGGAATAGCAAACACCCTGGAAGACAGGAGGAAGTTGCAGGGCGATCCTGATAAACCTGAACACTGGGCTGAAAGATGAGATTCAGGGAGGACAAGTGCCAAGTCCCCCACCTGGGAAAGAGAAACCAAAGGTACCGATACCAGATGGGGAACACGTGGCTCGACAGGACTGAACAAGAAAAAGATCTTGGAGCAATTGTGGACATTAGGCTAAGCATGAGCCAACGATGCGATGCAGCCGCCAAAAGGGCAAATGCTATTTTGGGATGCATGAACAGAAGCGTTCCTTCCAAATCACGAGAAGTAGTAGTTCCCCTTTACTCCTCACTAGTCAGACCTCACCTGGAATATTGTGTCCAGTTCTGGGCACCAAGTTTTAAGAAAGAGGCAGGTAAATTAAAAAGGGAGGGCAACAAAAATGATCCAGGGCTTGGAGAGACTGCCCCGTGAGGAGAGACTGGGAGAACTGGGCACGTTCAGCCTTGGGAAGAGAAGGCTGAGGGGGGACATGATATCCCTCTAGAAGGACCTCAAAGGCTGCCACAAACAGGAAGGCCAAGATCTCTTCTTGCTGATGCCCCAGTGCAGGACACGGAATAATCCAATTCAAGCTGCGACAACCCAGATCCAGGCTGGGCATCAGGAAAAGCTTCTTCTCTGTCAGAGCAAGACGGCAGTGGGACCAACTGCCTAGAGAGGTGGGGGAGACACTCAAAAAGAAACTGGGCAGCCATCTGAGTGGGATGATGTGACTTGGCATCCTGCACCAGCAGGGGGTGGACTGGATGGCCTTCATGGCCCCTTCCAGCTCAACTCCTCTATGCTACAGGACGGGGCATTATTTTTGTTGCATGTTTGCGGTGCAGAAGCAGAACCAGAAAGTTCTTATGAAAGCCAGTTTGAACCTGCTCAGCATGTAACTCCAAAGCACTGGAGAGCGAATGGGTCACTGGGCGTGATGAAAAAGGCGTTCCAAGGAGCTGAAACGGACAAATTAGCAGGATCCGTCATGCTCTGGAACGCAAGCAGAAACCAACACGGTTGCAAGAGATGGGCTGCTTTTGTTTTTACTACAGGAATCACTCCCAGTGCATTTAATGAACAAAATAACTTCTTCCTGTCTGAGATGCATGGCTTTAATAAGGAATGAGCAAGGTCCTTCGAGATCATGGTTACATCCCAAAGCGTTTTCCAGACAGATTTATTTCCTCCAGTCCTGCTTGACACGCTGGTGGGTGCGCTCCCACCCCGGCAAGCAGCGAGCCGAACGTGGCAAATTGGCGAGCAACTCCAGTGGTGGGTGAGGCTGGAAGCGAAGCTGGCAGGGCCAAATTAGGAGCATATTTTAGGGCCCTTAGAGAGGTATCCCAGTCTTTTGGAATCAGTAAAGCAGCGCAAAATCCAGAAATCCATCCAATCATTGGGGCTCTCAGGGTGGGAAGGACATCGGAGGAAACCCGGAGGACAGACCTGGGGCTCCATGCAGGTCACATCTGGTGCCCTCAATTCCTTGTTTGGGGCAAGGAGCCTGTGGCCCCATTCCATAGCGCGGGGTTTTGCTTTCAAGGAGAAGGTCCATGCAGCACACAGAAAAGGCAGAAAGAAATGGTGGTGAACGAGTGCCAGGTGCACCGCGGCAATGGAGGCCACGCCATCTGACCTGTCAAAGTCCTGTTCAGCTATCATGCCTCTGCAACTTTCATAAGGACTAGAAACTTGCCCGCGTCTTCTGTTTTTGAATAAGAAATTCCCAGTGGTTGGCTTTGCCAGGTAGTGGGTCCACATGGCAGCCCCATATGAAAGAAGATACCGGAGCGAGCAAGCCTGTAAGCATCGCCCCACAACAGACCTTAATGCTTGTTTAAAGGCAAGGAAAACCACCACGGGGCATTTGCAAAATTCTCTGCTGAAAACCAGATTGTGCAACCACAGCAAGAAGTGAAATTCAGTGAATCCGATCAGAGCCAGCTTCAGGTTTCTGAGAGCCCCGGGCAGGGCCCCGAACTGGGCCTCGGCGGGGCTGCCACACAGAAGCCCCCGCTGCGCCTCCTCAGCCCGGCTGCCCTTTGCCTTCTGGACAGGCAGGGACCGAGCAGCGAGCGAGCGAGCGAGCGAGGACCCCGCGGCAGTCTTCGCGCACCTCCGAGCCGGAGCGCAAAGTGGGTGAACATGCAGGGCGCACTGGCGACGAGGGGAAACGTGAGGGTGAGCTCGTCCGTGGGCCCCTCAAATTTTGGCCCCGGGCCCTTGGGAAGTGCCTACTGCCGATGCCGCCCAAAGGCAAGCCCTCCGTCCACCGGAGCCATGCTGCAAAAACCAACCCGGGCGCTGCGAGAGAGAGGGGAGCGAGTGAGCGGACAGGACAGGACAGCGTGGAAGGGTGTTTGCAGGGCGACGGCGGGCAGAAAACAAGCAGAGGCGAAAGGCGCTCGCTCTCAGAAGGGGGGGCAGGAAGCTGCCCAGGCACCGATGGGTTATCTCGAGCGGGTGTTGCATCAGGCGCTCCGTCGGTGTGGCAACAGGGCAGTGCGGAAATCAACCGCCAGCGAACCGGGAGGAGGAAGCCCGGCTTGGATGCCTGGGCGAGGCGTCCCTCCCTCCCCGCAGCTCTCAAGCCGGGCTCCGGAGCCTCTCGCGCCAGCGCGCTCGCTGGCCGCGCGGAATGCCGTGCGCCTGTGTCGGGGGCGCACGGGACGCCTTCCCACGCACCGCACGGCTCACATGGAGCGCGTCAAGGCATCGCTGCGCCTCCTGCTTCTCCGGCTGCATCTGGATGCCCGAGTTTTTGCTAGGTGGGAAAGAAATATTCAACAGGGAGAGGAAAGGGCCTGGCTTTCTCCTTCAGTGGACGTACGTCTCAGCTAACAAACCAGGAATGAACCGGAATGAAGCACACAATTGTTTCTGAGCTATCCAGGGTGCAACCCAACCCACTGTTAGATAGAAAAACTAGGCAGTAGGGCCTAGTGGTGGGAGCCTTGGACTGGGGACCCAGGAGACTTGGGGCCAGCGTTGGACCTGGGTTCCAGTCCCCACTCAGCCATGGAGCCCATTGGGTGACTTGGAGCCAGTCACCCACTCTCAGCCCGGCCTACCTCACAGGGTTGTTGTTGTTGTGAGGATAAGAGGGTGAGGATGACGACTGGGTTAGTGCCCGGGGTTCCCTGCAAGAGGAAAACATATGGGATGCAAAATCCTAAGATGACAGGGCTTGGCGTTCTCCAGCTGGTACGTTGGGATTTCTTGGGCATTCCTTGGATTAAGGGCTGCACCTAACAGTCGCTTCTGGATACGAAGGGCAAGAATGAGGCAAGTCCATCCATCCTATTCCTGCCTGCCTTTTTCCTTCCGAGGGCCTCCGGGTGGCCACCTCCTCTCCGTCTCGGGCTGCTGCCTCTCCGCCAGGACCCCGCACCGGCCCTCCTGTGCTGAGCTCCCTCTCAACCCCAATTCCGTGGCACTCGGAGGACCTCGTGGGGCTGCGCAGCCTCCAAAGTGCTTTTCAGAAGGCGGTGCTTCTAATTTTCCCTGTCTTTCAGCATGTGAATTTCCAAGGGGACGGAACTGCGTGAACTGGTGCCCCCAACCTGGTGCCCCCCCCCCCCCCCAGAAGTGTTGCACTATGCCTCCCAGGATTCCTCAGCAGCCAAACATCTTCGGTGGGCACCGTGCTGGGGAAGGGTGTCCCAAGAAGACGGCCCAGAGAATTCATCCTAAAAGATGGGCAGCTTTATAATTAGGACCTGCGTCTCCGAAGGGGCGCCTCCTTCCCGACGTGCCCGCCCGCCCCTTAAGATCTGGGTCAGAGGTCCTTTTTTGGGGACCCTCCTTGAAGTAGATCAGGAGGGTGGCTACCAGAGAAGGGCCTTCTCTGTGGTGGCCCCCAATCATGGAATTCGCTTCCTAGAAAGTTTCGCCTGGCGCCATCACTTTATGCTTTTCGGCGCCAGGCCAAAACTTATATTTTCCCAGTATTTTAAGGTTTTGTTGTGATTTTAATGTGGGGTTTTATTGTATAGGGAACTTATTTGGACGCTACGCTTCACTCTCTTTTATTGTAAGGCCCTTCCGAGACTTTGGTAGCGGATGGTACATAAAAGTTTTCCATGAATAAAAGGAAACTGCCCTGTGGGTGCCAAGAGCGCTTCTCTTCCTGCACCTTCCTGGGGGGGAGGCAGCCCCAGCAGCGCCGTGGCCAGGATGGGGAGGGGTCTACACAGCCACCCCCTGGTCCCAGGGAGCAAGAGTGTGTGACCGCAGCCCTGCTGGGTCTGACCGAGGCCGGCTGAGTCCACCGCCCGCCCGCGTCCGCACTGGCCCCGCAGAATCCCAGTGGGAGTCCAGAAATAGACCAGTGGCACAATGCCACTCTCTCTGGCCCATGCTCCCCAGCACCTGGTTCTGAAGGGCACAGGGCCACTCATCCTGGGGGGCTGGCAGCCAGCCACAGCCGAGTCCTGCAAAATTTTTCTTGAGACCCTCCCAGGTCGGGGGCTGCCAGTCCAACGCGTGATGGCGAGGGCCAGGGATGAACCATGCCCTGCTGGAAGGCTCCTGCCTCTCACAAAACTCTCATCATCCACCGCCGTGGGATCTCCTCCTAGCTTTTTGGGAGAACGTACACGCATAATCCTAGGAGCCCTGGAGCGTGTCCGTGGAGACAGCCCTGTAAGATTTTTCTTGGCCTCAGAGTGCAAGTTCTCCTTAGAATGAATGGAGAGCCCTCCGTGTGGCTTAAAATAGGAAGAGACTAAATATAAAGGGGAACAAGGGAGCGGAAAGTGTTGTAAAGTGATGAAGAAAGAGGCTTTTAGCCGGACGACCAGAAGTTGTTCTAGAAAATGACAACAGGTAATTTAAATTCATAGGAGAAAGGGTTTTTTCCTTTTAAAAAAGGGTCAGACTGAGAAGCTTTCCTTAGAAATGAACATGGAAACAGGCGATGAGCGAGCGCGCAAGCATGCTTTGGACAGAAGAGACTTCTAAATGAGCTTTAACTGCGCACAAGGTATGGATGGGAGAGACAAGCACCTGTGTGAATCAGTGAAGACGAACACATGGAGAAAGTGGAGGGGGAGACGTTTTCCTGAGCACTTGAACCCGGGGTCATCCCACGAAGCTGACGGGTAGGAGGTTTACGGCAGATAAAAGGAAGGACCTCTTCACACAGAATATGGATAAACTCTGGCATTGGCTGCCACAGGAAGTGGTGATGGCTGCCGATTTAGGTGGCTGTAAAGGGTGTTGGGCTGGTTGATGGAGGGGTGGCTAGCAGTGGCCACTAGCCTTGCGGGCCACGTGCCCTCTTCTTTCCCAGAGGTGGCCTGCCCGCAGACCCCAGCTGCTGGGGCGCTTGGGCAGGGGGTGGTCTTGCACCCCTCCTGCTGGAGGGATCCTGCGGGCAGCTGGTTGCCGCCGTGTGCACAGAGTGCTGGACTGGATGGACTTGGGCCTGATCCGGCAGGGCTTTCCTTACATTCCCACGCAAAATGCATGTTTGTGTGCGTGCACGTGTGTGTAAAGAAGGCAGCGGCAGGCCAATCCCGCTGGAGTTTGTTCCTTGGGCACCTGGAAGCAGAGAAAACCCGCATTCCACATTACTCCATGCTTGGCGTACGCGTCGCAACGCAGCCCCGTGCACGCAGGCCGACTGGGAAACGCGAGGAAAAAGAGAACTTTTCCCCTGCCTCAACATGCACGGATCGTGACCTAACTCGTGCAACCGTCTTCCAGGCACTTCCTCTTACATCACACCCTCAAGCACCATCTGCTCGAGCGCCCCTGCAGCTGGCTCAATCCGGGGCGGGGGAGAGGTTTTTACCTCCTGGGTTCCAGGGAATGCACACTGATGATCTTCTCAAAATTCGCCACGAAGAGTTCCAGCCACTGCTGCAGGTAGGCCAAGTCTTTCTGGAAGAGAAAGCAGAGGAGACAGTTGAGGTCAGAGAACAGCTCTCCTTCTCTTGCAGAATTGGAGTGGTCCCACGTTCAGGTTCTGTTTGAGCCCAGATCTTTTGCTGCTCATCAAACCTGTTCTGGCTGAGAGGACACTGGTGGCCCGTGGCACAAACGCCATCTAAGCTCTGGCACTGCTTCGGACTCTTCCCCTGAATCACGTCTAGGTTTCTGGTGCTGTGCAGAGCCGAGCCAAAGAAATTGCAAGCGTTTGGGCAAACGCTTTCAGCACTGTAAAACCAAACCAAACCAAGCCAAGCCAAACCAAGCCAAACCAAACCAAGCCAAACCACCTGCGCATTTTGGACAATTTTTCAACTCCTTGCAAGAATGATTCCTAATTCATTTAATTACGGAACATCCTGCAACATCGGAGCCAAACCCTGCAGCGTGTGCCCTCAAACAAACATCGGAAGGCACGGTCATCTGATTTGCTTCTTGATCTGCGACGGCACGGGACCACCGACGGGGCAAGCGCAGGAGGGGCGGTGCGGGCGGACACGGGGCAAAGCGCCACATCAAAGGATCACACGCTCTCCTGGAGGGGAGGGTCACGTGCCCACGATGACCGCAGGGTTCGTGAGGAACATTCCACCTGCTGAACATTCAGCACAGCCATGGTTCCCCCTTGGCTCCCCGCAAGCGGGTGGCTTCCAACCCTGTTGGACTACGACTCCCATAATTGCACAACCGGCACCCTATCAACCACGGCCTCTGCCTTCAGCGTGGGCCACGACGCTGGCCACGGCGGCTCGGTCCCTCCGACTGGGAGCGCGCAGGGTCTGCCTTTGGGGCACCCTTGGAACCGCCCCGTGGCAAACTGCATGCGCTGGAGGGCCACGTCCAAGGGGGCCCGTTCGGCCCAGTGCGGGCCCGATGCTCCGAGCTCCTCACAGACGCTTTGGTCCAGCGCCGTCTGCCAAAATCGCGGCCCCGCGAGCTCCTCCTCGCCGCTGCAGGGACGGGTGGGAGAAGCCACGAGGGCCTTGAAGAGAAACCGGGCACTTGGGCCGGGCCAGCACGCAGCTGGCGGAGGCCTGCCGGGACAGGCTGCTCAGGAGCATGGGCACGGCAGTTCTGCGCCAGCTTTGGGGCCCTCGGCCCATCGCCGGTGCCCGCTCGAGCAGCTGGCTGCGGCTTTCCCAGTCCTAACAGGCTGGCCCCGGAGATCTCCCAGCTGCCGGCAGCAGCCCCCGGCCTCCCTTCGCCCAGGCGGCACTTTGGAGCAACTGCCACTGGCTCATTCGTCCGTGAATAACAAAAGCAGCAAACAAGCAAAAAGCAGCCGAGAACATCGTGCCATTGTGTTTTCAATGGGGTGATTGGTTTTGTCAGTCCTTCGCTCTGTGGGTTTCTTAGTCTTGGCTGGTCAATTTCACGGGAACTGGCAAGAAGAGGCGTCGTCAAGGCAGACTGACTGTTGCACCTGTCAACGGAAAAGCGCTGGGAAAGGGGAGAAAGCGGCCAACGCAGGTGCATCAAACCCGCCTCGAGACTTCGGTAGTAGGTGGCATTCAGAGGGAAGCATAAATAAATCGATAGACAGATAAAAACAAACAACGATGGGGCCAGGGAAGGGCACCCTCTGCTGAACAGAGCAATCCGCTGGCCTTGAAGTGCTGAATGGACACTTCTCATCGTCTTCCACCTTTTTTACAGAGAATTTACTGCTGCGGTTACTGAGGTTCCCTGTTCGCTTTAACAAGAAATATACAGAAATTTAATCTGGGAAGTAAATGGAGAGGAAATCTGCACATTTGCGACAAAGGAGCAGTTAATGGAGGTGCACAAATTTCCCCTCTGTTTACTTCTCAGTCCTCAAATTTGTGTTTATTTCTGCGGGTTTTGTTTTTTGAGAGCAGTCGGTGAACTGCAGTAACCGCAGCAGTTAAGTGCTCCGAGGAGGAGCTGTAAAAAGGGGAGGGGAGTTGGCTGGAGAGTCAGGGAACTGCTGAGAAGGTGGAGCGGCACCGAAGGGAGTTACCTTGACACTTAAGATCGACAGAATTACATTGACCAGACAATTGACAAGGCAGAGATGCTCCCTGCCCCCCCCGCCCCCATTTTTTGGTGGACTTTCTTATACTACTTCATCGCTTGACTTGTGCTTTTCTACTGGCCCAGGGCGACCATCTTCAAATTTGCTTTTCTCTGCTTTGCTGCTCCCTTTGAAAGTCAGAACAGACAAATATACCCTTATAATAATAATAATAATAATAATAATAATAATAATAATAATAATAATAATATTGACCAGGCAAGATTACTCAAATGGGACAGTCCCGAGGGCGCTTCTGTGCTCCTGGGAAAGACCGACAAAAATAAAAATTATTCCGATTGACCACAGTTGCACAAAGTTCTGGGGTTGCAAACGGCCACCACTGGGCTTGTGGGAGGCCTTGGAAAAGCAAGAGGCCGTGAGCAGAAAGGGAGAGTGGGAAAAAGAGGGGAGAGGAGTCCAGACTGATTTTCCTAGGAAGTGCCCTGGGATGCCATGGACCAAGGGACGGGGAGGGGGCCCAAACCAAGGCCCCCCTTGGAGGAGAACCCATGGACCAAGGGGGAAGGGGAGGGCATCCCCCGCCCCATGGCACTTACTTGAAGGGTGGCTTAGTGTGATGTGGGAAAGTGCCACTGTGGGATTTGACCAATCGGGCTTTTGCAGGATTCGGGGAGAGCTTTCCGATTCCGGAGACTTTGTCTCAGCCACTGGCCGTGTGCAAGCTGCCGGGTGCCGCTTAACCGAGCCCCCTTTGCATGCCTTCCTGAGCCTTTTGGGGGCTTCCCAGCATCGCCCTCTGTTCCACTAGATGAATTTCTGACCTGTTCTCCCCTGCAGAGGAAGGCAGGACGCGCTCCAAGGGAGCCAAGCTCAGGGAGCCAAGGTTCCATTTGGATGCCAGGAAGCACTTCCTGACAGTCAGGACCCCGAGGGTGTGGAATGGGCTTCCGCGGGAGGTCGTTGAGGCCCCATCTTTGCAGGTGTTCAAGGATAGGCTGGACGTCCACATGGTGGGCATGTCGTGAGCGGAGCCGGCTGGAGCCGGGGGTCAGACTAGATGGCCCGGGAGACCCCTTCGCTCTGTTTCTATGTCCTCTAGGCAGCCTTCAGAACGGACGATCAAGGATGATGGCAGCAATAGCTATTTAGGAAGGCCGCAGCCCGAGAAGGGGGTGCTTCTCTCCTCGCTAGCTGAATGGGCTTACGACCCATAAAGCCTGAGGTACCTGCGCTGAGAATGGGTCCCTCCCCACCTTCCCTCAGGTTCCCAAATGTGAAAAATTCCTTAAAACACCATTCTTCCATTGAGGCTCCATGGAGACAGAAGAGCTCTCAACAGCCTTACCCGAAGTTCAAAGAGAGAGGCCTCTGGGCATGTCAAGAGTTGAATCTAAACTGGAAGCTTCCCTTCGGTCCCTCCCATCCTGCAAAACGCCGGGCTCCACCTTCGCGGAGGGGTCAAGAGGGTGCGCACCCCTCCGGCCAAGTTGCTCATCTCTCTGATGCCTCCTTGTTGGGTCAATGTCTCGGCCTGGCACCTGTTCCGGCCCCGAAAACCCTCCCCCACTTCCATAATGGGCTGATTCTGGCCCCTCCCCTCCTGGCAATGTGGCCCCTTCCCTACAGCCACCATGGAAACACAGAGGACTAGCCTCTTGGAAGGGCAAGTTAAAAAAACAAACAAACCTGCCACCCTCAAGAGGGTTTGGCCTCTTGCAGGAAATATGGGTGATAGAAAGCATTTCCTCTCCTGTATTTAAGTAACCTACTTTTTAGTGGTTGTTCTCACAGCATCAAAGGGGGGGATTCACAAATGCAACCTTAAAAATTACTTGCACACAAACATTTTAAACTGGCAAATCGGCCTGTAAAAGCATCAGCTTCTACCAGCCTGCAGCTCCAGCGCCCAGCTCCCTAAAAAGCACGGAGGCACACGCTTGGGGGAAACGGGGGCCAACCCGCCCCCCCAAAGGTGCTTCCGCTGCCTGCTCCCATGCGGCTTTGGCGCAGGTGACCTTCAGGTGCCTTTCCAGAGCCAGGCTTGTCCGAAAACACACGAGGTCGCGCCCCATGCTAATCTTTGTTGGCAAACAGGAGGAGACGGGGCCAGCGACGGTGGGGACGGGCCGCCTTCTCTATTTACAGCTAAAATCCAAACAAGAGATAACGATAACAATAAAGCCAGGCACCGGTTGACTCCTCTGCACTCCCCCCGCCCAAAAGGACCCCCCCCCCGCCTGCTCTTGGGACGAGATGCGGCCCAACAGCATCTCCTGCCCGCCTTCGCATGGCCGAACTTGCTGGGAATTTCTCCTGCTCCGAACCTGCCAGAAATCAAGGTCAAGTACAGTGGTCGTGTTTCAAAAGGTGCCTTGCAGGCAGCCGCTTCCCCCGGCTTTTTTTGGGGGGGGGTAAAGGATTTAAACCCCTCCCATGCTGGTTAGGACAGCGAGGACCCCACCTGAAAGGGGACGTGTTGCCCCCCGGGGGTCCAATGAGGGAGGGTCCTGAGCTGAGCCGTTCGCCCAGGGGGCAGGGTTCTGTCTGGGCAGGGGGCAGTCATTATTCCTGGAGGGGGGCAGCCGGGCCATGGTGGTCCAGCCATGGGGAAGCACCTGACTAGATTACTACTCTGAGTGGGGCAGCCCCATGCGCCTGGTGCGGAGCTTGGAGCATGAAGCCCAAAAGAATTTGGGACTGCTGGGGAATTTCAGAGAAAGCCTGGTAGGAAATCGTGGCTTATCTGTGCCTCTGTGTTACCAAATCAAACCTGCACCCCTTTCCCAGAAAGCTCCAGAATTCCAAGCGAGGTTGCTGTGTAGTGTTGCTGCTGCCTGGGCTGAGAAGCCACTGGAGGCCAATACCTGTGAAACGCTGAAACATGGAAGCGCCCCTTGGCTTCTGAATGGGCCCACCTGAGCATCTAGTCCCCCAGAGGCAGGCCAGCAGTGTTTCTGATGGTTTGGGACATCATGTCATGCCTAAAGACACCAGAATGCTCTTGCACTGAGATTATCTGGAAGCTCAACACTCCCCATTGCTGCCTGTGACTAGCAGGTTATAAAAGTGTCTGTACACGGGCTGTGATTTTGTGGTTGAGTTTACCGCTACCCGGTAGCATACTATCGTGACTGATTGCAGGCACTGGGGCGCCGATCAATAACGAAGCAGAGGTTCGAACCTTTGATCTTTCCCACGGGCCGAGTTTTTATTTCCTCACAAATTGAAAACTGAGATTCTGTCAGGACCAAGCTGTCTTGCGGACCATCTCCCCTTAGCCACCCACGACGGACCCTCAAGAATCGCTGAGAAGCCCCTCGTAACCCTAATATCTTCACTGGGGGGGGGCGTCTTTGGGTAGCAGCCCCCACCCCCTGGAAAGTCCTTCCCCACGCAATGCGGGAGGCAGAAAAGAAGGTATGTTTCAGACTTGAAAAGGCACCTGTTCGCCTAGGCTGCTCCTGGCTTGTGATTAATTGCAATTAATTGCATTTGTTCCAGTGCCTTGTATCTTTCTGCCTTGCTCTTTGACTGGAAGTGTTTTTAATGGCACATATATAACACAATTTATATATATTTACTGCTTTTGTATACCGCTCATGGCTCTCAAAGCTCTCAGAGCACTTTACAACCGCTTATATGAGAACTATGTAGAAATTTGATTATATTAAGCGGTATGTAACATCCATATATGCCCGGCCGCCCCTTGAGATCTGCGGGAGAGGCCCTTCTCCGGGAACCCTCCGTGAAAGAAATTAGGAGGGTGAGTACCCAGAGGAGGGCCTTCTCTGCGGTGGCGCCCAATCTATGGAATGTGCTCCCCAGAGAGGTCCGCCTGGCGCCATCGTTATTTGTTTTTCAGCGCCAGGCGAAGACCTTTTTATTTAAGTGTCATTTTAATTGTTAACAGTATTTTGCTTATTTATCTGGCCAGGGCGACTTCTTTTATATTGTTACTTATTTTATATTGTAAGTTTTATATTGCTATTTTTGTATTATATTTTATGTTGTGAGCCGCCCCGAGGCTTCGGCGAATGGGGCGGCATAGAAATGTTTTAATAAATAAATAAATAAATAAATAAATAAATGACTGCAGTTTTTTCCCAAAACAATGGAAGCGAGAAAGGTCCCTGCCCCAAGGAGCATGACAACCAATTTCAATGCAGCGAGAGATGAAGAAAGAGCAGGCAAGAGGCAACTGTGAGCGAAGATGGGCCGGGGTTGGGCGCCTGGCTGAGAATGGTGGAGAAAAAGGTTTACATCCCCCCTTCCGCTCTGGGTTGGCTTGCGCCAAGCTGCCCTCTCCCAGCTCGCCCGCCTCGCAGGGTTGTTGTGAGGACGGCGGAGGAGAGCAAGGGAGAACCGGCCGTGCCGCCTTCGGCTCCTTGAAGGAAAGGCAGAGACCTGGCAGCCAGTAAACAAACGGAGCCAACGGAGCACGGGGTTATCGTGCGCCCGGCTGGTCTGAGGCACGGCGTGCCGGCCGGACCGCGCCGGTTGGTCGACGAGGCCACACCGAGGTGCAGGGACGGCGTGGCTTGCGGAGCGAGCCCTCGAGAAAGGGACTCCGCCACGCGGTTGGTTCTCTCCTCAGCCTCAGAGATGGCCTAGGGCTCCCCCAGGCAAAGAGTTCACTCTGTGCATGCTCAGATCACCCTCACTCACTGCCTGGGGGGGGATCCCGTTCCTACTTTTCAAGGGTTGCAACATGGCCTTTTTATCTTGCCTTGGCCCTCTTGCTAGGCACCCAAGGCAGCCCTTCCCCTCTCCCGTTCTATCCTCACCACAACAGCCCTGCGAGGTGGGTCAGGCTGAGAGTCTCACCCAAGGGGCTGCGTGGCCAAGCGGCATCCAGCACCCAGGTCTCCGGGGTCCCCAGTCCTGCCCGAGAAGGAAGTGCAGTCCCTCGGCCGCATCGCCAGCGCATCCCGTTAAAGCAGGTGGCGCGCCGAATCCCCGTGCAGGAAGGGGCGCAGGGTCCGCTCCCCACTCCAGCTGGGGAGGGACCGGAGAGGACGCGTCTCCGCTGGGGCCGTCTCCTCCGAAGCGTGCAGGCCTCCGCCCGGATTCCCCGCGTGCCTCTTGAGGGCCTGGGCGGTTCTGAGGCAGAACCGGCCCCACCAGCACCGCCACCGCTGCCCAGAAGGGAAGGGCTGCGCGGGGGCCGAGGTTCGGGGCTGGGCAGGCCCACGCTTCCGCTCACCTCCATGGCGGGCTGCGGCTCTCTGCGGATGGATGAATGCCGTGGGGAAGGGATGCCGGAAGGTGCGTGAGCATCGTGCCCTGCAGCCCGGCTCCAGGGCCTGGATGGCCTCCAGGAAAGGCTTCCTCAAGGGGCCCCTTCGACCTGCTAGCCGAGTTTTGCCCGGTGCTCTTCCTCCTCACTGAGGGCCGGTGTGGTGTGGAGTGGAGGCTAGAGGGTTGGCCTGAGGCTCTCTGCCTAACCTGCCCCACAGGGCTGTTGCCAAGTGGAAATGGAGAAATAAGTGGCCCGTGGCTCCTTGCAAGAAGAATAAATGCTGCTGCAGCAGCAGTCGATGCAATGCAATGCAATGCAATGCAATGCAATGCAATGCAATGCAATGCAGCTGATGATGGCTACCACCGGTGTGCTTGCCAGGCATCTACTGGCCCCTGCTCACATCACCACCCCTATCTGGGTCAGAGTAAGAGGAGGACAAATGCAGTCCCTGCAGGGGCTTTCAACCGTGGGCCCCCGCCGGCCAACTCTCAGCCTTGCTCAGCGCTGCCGGAGACCAAGCAAGCGACTGGCTGGTTCAGCTTCCACAACCCGCTGCCCCGCGGGGGCCCTTCGTGCGAGAGAGAGGGAGAAAAGAAACTGGAACGGGCTGGGCGGCTGGCACCCCACAACACGAGGCGGCCCCGGCTGCACAGCCCCCCGACACAGAACCCTCGCGGCCCAAACGTCTCTTCCTTCCTGCCCAGATGGGGCAACCCCTCCTGGCCCCAACCACAGACTTCTCATCTCCCTTCCTTCTTCACCTCCTGTCTTGCCTGTGCACCATTTCCTCCTGGTTCTTGCTCGCCGAGAAAGCCGCCCCTCCTCGTTGCAAATCGTACATGGCTTCTTCAGAAGCTGCTCTCCAGTTCTCTGGGGTGGGCAGTCCCCACCTTTCTTCCTCTAGGCATCTCAAGCCACATGCTCCCTCGACAGTCCCCTCCCACCTCTCAAGTTCCTAGTCCTCTGCATCTTTCCCTCGACTTCCCTGGCCCTTCTCCCAGGGCCTCCTCTCACCTCAGCCTGCCCTGTGCAAAGCTTCAACGCCCAGCCGGACTAACAGCGACTCCTTCTCTCACAGAAACCGTGCAGCGAACTTTCAGACAGACGCTGCCCTCCCCCCAGGGCAGGTAGGGATGACCCCCCCCCCCAGTGGCTCAGCCCGAGTGGGAAGCTCCAGAATCCCACTTGCAGTGCAGGGTCAGGATTCTTCAGCAACAAAGGCAGACAAGGCATCCTTGCAAAGGAGCCTCGGGGCAGAACGCGGGGCTGGCCTGCAGACGTTCCCTAGAGACATCCTGCCCGGCTGAGCGTATAAAAAAGATCTTTAAATCTCCAGGAACTTCAGCAGAGCTGCAGGCAAGGAAGCTGCGCTTTCAACTCAACACACTGTGCTTCCCCTCTCAAGTGCCTTGAAAGGTCGTCTAGACACTGAGCATGCAAAGGCGGCGGCTGGCTGAAGATTAATCCAAGGCTCCATCCTGGAGCACACGGATTTCAGGCGCACGTCCCTGAAGGAGCTGCATCCTTCCACTGACGGAGGCCTTCGGCGTGCGTCGTGCGTTCTGTTCATGCAGAAGTCAAGGGCCACCCCCCGGAAACCCACAAGCAGAACAGGAATGCGAGGGGCCCCCCCCCGATGTTTCTCAGTCCCTGCTCTACATAGACAAACTGGGGTGGCACAGAACCATGAGGACTAGCAGCCATGGACAGCCTCCCCTGCCACGAATTTGTCCAAACTGCACGACGTCTTGCGATGAAGTAGAGCAAGGGGATCGTTTGGCACTGCAGACACTAATTAGGAGAGAGCGGCGGCTCGGCTCGCAGGAGCAGGGGAGGGGGCGGGGATGGTGCGGCATGGGTGCTCGCCAAGGCGGAGGTGGGAGCCGCCAGCCAGGAATCAACCATGCACCCAAGGCTCTCCAGACACAGATGGGCTGCTCTCGCCCGCTCGTCTCTCCCCCACAGCTTGCGGGGACGGCCCGAGACCCCCGTGCCAGGCTCAGAGATGCACGGACGGGAGCAAAGCACGCACGAGCGACAGCCGGGTTGGAGGGAGGTCTGGGCCGCTCGCTGTGGGACGGGGTTTGCGAGGGGTTACCTGGCTCGGGACGGCAGGCAGCGGCGGCAAAGCGGCCAGGTGTTCCATGGTCCACCGGGGGACGGGGCTGCATGAAGAGAGGTGCGTCCTGGGGGGCCTCGGGGCTGCAGGGAGGAGCCGGCAAGGAGCAGCGGCCGTTGCCACTGCCCGAAGCAACGCGACCAAAAAGTGACTTTCACAGAGTGGCGCTTGTGTCAAAAGGGAGCATCAGGAAATGCCAAGTCACTACAACCGACAAACGCTTCCTTTCCCCGCTGCAAGAGTTGCCGCAAGAACACTCTGTCTCGCCCAGATGCTCGGGCTGCTGCAAACAGCCCAGCCGCGCACCTCGCCGCCAGGTCCCCGCTCAGGCGCAGGGGTGCTTTGTGCAGGCCGTGGCTGCTGGAAGGAGTCCCATGCGCCTCGGCCCTGCTCGCTCGCGTGGAAATGCGGGAGCCTGGCTGGCTGGCAGGGCCGTGCAACTCTCTAGGTGGCCCGTCCCCTGCAGAGAGTTTGAGAACACGCACTCCTGGGCTTAGTCTATTAATTAATTGATTAGATCTATATCCTGCCCTTTTCTCTTTTAAAGAGCTCAGAGCAGATTGCATCATTCTCCTCCTCCTGCTCACCATCTTATCCCCCAACGACAACCCTGTGAGGTAGGCTGGGCTAAGCCTGTGACTGCTCCAAAGCCACCCCTTGGCTCCATGGCTGAGAAGGGACTTGAACCCGGGTCTCCCGAGTCCCAGCCCTGCGCTCTTGCCCAGGGCACCCCCCTGGCCCATTCACACTTTGAGAGCCAGTGTGAAGCTTAAGGGGCCAAAATCCTATTCTCTGGATTTCTCCAGGGCGACCCCGCCCCACCCCCCAAAAATCTCCGATCCCTGTTAAAGCCACAAGTTATGCCAGGCAGCTCTGGCCCCCTCTAAACCCTGCCCTCCGCCTGAGGCAGCAAAGTCGGGGGTCAGAAACCTGGTGCCCCCAAATGTTTTTGAAAACAACCCTTGCAATTCCTGACCAGTGGCCGTGCTGGCTGGGGATGATGGGAGTTCTAGTGCAAAACATCTGGGGGAAGAGCGCTAGTTGGCCTATGGCTGATTTAAAGCGAAGGCAGGCCTCTAACGCCCCTCAGTTTCTGAATGTCTCCCTCTTACCCCGCAAGTTCAGTGAATTCCTACAGCAATTACTGGGACGAGCACACAGGACGCCTGTTAGCACCGCAGGCACACGTCCGATCGGATTCCGGGCACCTCTGGAGGTCGGTGCATGCCGGGGAGGGACGCATTCTGCTACGAGTCCGGAGAGGTCCGGGCCATCCTGGGAGAAATGCCGGAGCCTTTTGCAATGCCGTGCGTTGCCTCCCTCCACCCACCCGCCCGCCATCTCCCTCTCCCCACAAGAGGTTGAGCAAGTGGGGAGAGGCGGGGCAGCCAGTCCCAGCTTGCCTGGGCCTCGCACTTCTGCAAGAAACAGATCCAAGGGGCAGCCTTGAAATAATACACGGAAAAGTTTAGAGCGCGGCAAACGGAGGGTTCCGTGCTGACTTGACTTCCTGGCACTCCGTGCGAAGGTCGTGAACTGCGCCCATCCCACGTTTCACACAGACACCAACGCGGAAAGAGAGAGAGACAGAAAAGGGCGACTTGCCTTCAGTCCCAACCTGGGACTCTTTATACTATACGCATTTTAACTCGTGAGCTCGAATCTGGGGCTTCCTGCACAAACACATCAGCACCAGGCAAGACGGAATCAAAACAGACGAGCGTCAGAAGCATCCGAAAACGGCAAGCAGGATGCTGGAGCTACGGTTTCTCTCTGCATTGTGCCGATCGATCACTTTTTACTTTTACGGGCTAACCTGCCCAGGCACCCCAATTAACTGGGCACCAGATTTTGAAGTAATTTATGATGCTTGAAATGGGAACAGCGTGGTTCCCCTACAAGCAACGGAAGCGCCCTTTTACTTATACGCATGCTGTTCTAAATGAACGAGAACTCGTACGAATAAAGTTGACTAAGATTTCTATTGGACAACAAGCTCAATTTGATGATGATGATGATTCTGTTCAATTCAGAGCACGTATTTCAGCACGACAATTAGTGCCACAGAATCCCTTAAGCTGGGAGAATGAGCTGAACCACAAAACCCATATTCAGCTCTTGAGTGTGGGTTGTCTGAACCCTGGCCAACTGCTTTCAGACAACCCGATAACCGAGGCTCAAGGACTGAGAGGGCTGTCCCCAAACTGGGGACTGCGGTTGACATGTAGACCGTTGCGTTGTCTGAAACCAGCCTGGATAACAAACCACGGTGAACAACCAACTGTTCCCAAGCAAGCAGGAAACCGCGAGGGTTTGATGGTTGTTTGTGCTCAACAGGCCATAGCTCGTTGGGCAGCTAAGCCCAGACAACACAATAAACCGTGGTTTGACAACAAGCCACATCCAACCCGTACTCAACCGTTAAGTGCTGTCTGAACCCAGTCATGGTCAGCTGGCCCAATCTATGGAATGCGCTCCCCAGAGAGGTCCGCCTGGCGCCGTCGTTATTTGTTTTTCGGCGCCAGGTGAAGACCTTTTTATTTAAACGTCCTTTTAATTGTTAACAATATTTGCTTATTTATCTGGCCAGGGCGACTTCTTTTACATTGTTATTTATTTTATATTGTTATTTTTGTATTGTTATTTTTGTATTTTATTGTATTTTTTTGTGTTGTAAGCCGCCCGAGGCTTCGGCAAGGGGCGGCATAGAAATGTTTTAATAAATAAATAAATAAATAAATAAATTAAAAAAAAACAAGTGGCAATAAGACTGAGAAGTAAAGAGGGCCGGAGGATGCAAAGAGACAATACGACAAGACGCTTTCAGCGCCGACAGGTGTGACTCCAGCGGTCAACGGCAGTTTCACAGGGGCATCTGCTTCCTCGCCCGAGACTGCAGCCATCAGAGGCTTGCCAGTTCTTGCTCTCCGCCAGGTGTATTCACCTGAAGTGCGCCTTTCAGATGCTCTGCACATGTTTCTTGTGGCACAAGCTCTTGTGGGGGGCAAGAGAGAAGATGGTTCAGCCCCTTCTTTATCTAAGCTGTTGCAACGCTGCTCTTTGGCAGCTCATCTGCTGTGAAGTAATAAAACTGTAAAGATGTAAAAATCACAGATCCTGCAGAAGAATCAAAAAGAAACAGCGGAAATACACCAAGAGGGCTGCCCGGGGTCTCACGCTAGAAAGGCCCTGCAGGGCGAGTATGGGAGAATTCACCACGGGCACCGGGGCTCGGCTTTGGGGCACGGGGCTCCACACCAGAAAAGGGGACAGGGCTCGGAGGAAGGCCCAGCAGGCTGATCCCACTCGGCCCCTGAGTGAACAGGTGGGAATCCCCATGCAATCCCCTCCCAAGCCACTTAAAACACTGTCGCCCCAAGCCGCCATCTTGAACGGAGCCTGGGAATGACCCGGATGCGGGAACCAGCGCATTTCTGAACATGCTTAGCCGCCAAGTCTGGCCTTGCAAAGAGGACGCGGCTGCCAGCTCTTGGTCAGATGTACTGAAAAGGTAGCTCAAGATTCCTGGTGCTGTACAAGAAGTGACGATTAAGGCACATGCGCACCGGAACAGCAGGCCCGGAGAGAAGGGCGTCCGATCGCGAGGACCACGTCCCTTGCTTCTCCACAGCCCCAGCGCTGAGGCTGCTGTTGCTCCACCCCAAAAAGTGAGTCTGAACGACCCGGGAGAGAGGAAGCACTTCCCAAGCTTGCCGGAATTAAGAAGAGAAAGTTGCCTGGCTTAGCAAAGCAGGATCTGAAAGACTAATGACTCTTTCGACAAAAACATGCTCTTCACCACTTCCTCTGCTCCCTCGAGCTTGCCCGAAACAGAAACTTGGGTTCTGGCGCTGAGCGCCTCTAGCGTGCTTGAGAGACCGCCCCCTCCCCGGCACCGACTGCGACCGCACTGGGGAAATGCTTCGGCTTCACTCCATTTCCCCTTGTGTGGCGATGGGAGTTGTTTTTCCCTATTCCTTTTTTGAATGTTGCACCGGATGCGATACATCGACTTCGATGTTTGCGTGTGCCAACCGTGTGACGCCCTGTCCTTAAAAGGGCACGTGTGTGGGGCCAGAAATGTAGGTGAGGGTCCAAACTCAAACGACCCTAACCTTCGGGAAACACTGTCCCAGCCCTCATGGCTCCTGGGAACTACAAGGCACAACGCAAGAAAGAGAGCGCAAGGGAGCACTGAGTGAAAATCGAAGTCAAACATCCTGCTCAGACAGTGACGGAGCGCTATTTGATCCTGGCTTGTTCAATAATCCAGAGTTTGCACGAACTGGGTTTCCTGCTTTGGGCATAACAACAAACTGCGGTTTGTGTTGAGCCAGGGAATGGGTGCTTCGGATCCCCTCCCGGCAACCATGTACGGAGGAGAGAGGTGAACGTGGCATTGGGATCCAGGATCAGAAGGAGGCATCCCCTTGCTGAACGGTGGAGCTAGGCCAACCGCTCAGCATCAAGCAAACACGCCACGATGCGACATCTGCGTCCTTTTCAAAGGCGGGAAACTGTTCTGGTCTGGATTTATTTGCTTTTTGGTTCAAATGTTGCAAAATGCAGAAATAAATAATTACCGGGCACGCCAAGAAACGGCTTCAGCTGCTAGGCAGTAGAGACGCCCGCTCGGGCCCTCGGGAGCAACGGACGAACAAACACGCAGACGCCACCGCAGCTACGTGCTGATGCCTCTCTCGGCGTGTTTAAAGGAGCCCGTCTCCTAAGGGTCCGAAGGGAGACCCCTTTGCAAAAAGGGATGTACGGAATGGGGAGGGGAGGGCATTTAATTTCTGGAAAAAGCTCGGGCAGAAACATCCATGGTTTGGGGGGGGTTGGCGGGGGGAAGCAACCACCAGCCAAGCCAGAGACTCAGAAGCAGCGGCCAGCTATTCAGGGGCCCCTGTGCCTTCCTTTCGGCAAGTGCCTGGTGGGCAGGCGGACGCAGAGCAGAGCGGCAAGGAGCAGGGGAGCTGTCTCGGTGAGAGGTCCTGGGGCTCACGGGGCCAACAAAGCAGTTGTGCCAGCTATGACAAAGCCCATGTTCCCCATGTAGGAGGTGGCAGCCTCACCCCCCACATCTCCCCTTGGAAGGACCATGGGCTGCAGCTTCACCTGTCTGGGCGGCACACCTGGGTGAGATGAGAGGCCGCTCTGCTTTATCCACCCGCCCAGTGACCCAGAAGGTCCAAACACGTAAGAGCAATTCTGGCCTACCTGGGCAGGC